GTACATTTTATCCAATGTGTGCGTTTGCCCAATTTAAATAAATGGTACTTTAACATAAAAGTTGAATTTAATATCAAGGACTATGCTCGTTAATTTGTATAAAATTACAAAATTTCTCTAGTCCATATTATCGAGCTAAAATATTAAATATACCCATGCAAAAATTAAATTAAATACGTTCATCATTGAATATTAAAGCTTGTTAATGTAATGGATGAATAAATTTGCGATTTTGCAATTTTTACATGTGATTTTCACTTTAAACGCGAGTAATTATGATAATCGAGTTTCATACTATAACGTTAATAAAATTTCAATATAATTTTATATGTTGAAGTTATGATACACTTATAAGTGTTTCGATATGTTTTATACGACATACTTATAAATGTTTCGAATATTATATCTTATACTATTATATATATATATATATATATATATATATATATATATATATATATATATTTAATATGTATTATAAATATCTCAATGATATAATAATAAAAGTGTTAAATTGTTAAAATTAATTAATTGAAAAAACTACGAAATGAAATGAAAACGTTGTGTTAATACAATATTGGTCAATGAATTCATAATTTGAAACAATTTGTAAAATTTAAGAGCTACTCAACTCAAATACATATATGTATAATAATTTTAATGTAAAATAAAAAACTATACGATTTAATCGGCAAGATGGTACAGAATATAGAAGATGCATTGAATCCTTTTACCATTTCTGCGATCGGTCGGTCGGTCGGTCGATCGTTGTGCAATGGACAAGAGACCGATGATTTGCTTTCACTGACTCACCTTTAACGTGATGTTACGATTACTATTAGCATTAATTCAACTGACATTTCGATCATTCTCCCTAAAATCTCGCACTTATTAAACCTATGTAATTTGTCACCGATTAATGACTCTCTCTGATACTTGCAAAGTAGTAGTTTGGCAGCAAAATGTAAACGATAGCTTTCTTTGATGTTTGTAGGAGTTATTCGCAAATTGCTTAATTACTATTTGTAAATATTTGTAAATTACTAATTATACAGAGTTCGACCGAGTATTATATAAAAGCGCACGCGATGAAAATTCGTTATGAGAAAATGAGAAAAAAATATAGAATTTGTTTTATTTGAGGTTCTGTTCTCAAGAAAATCGAAATAATTTGAAAATTAATACTTGAATTTAGCTAGTTCTAGACGTGATAGAAAAGAATATTCTATATGCAAAAATAAAATTAAAAAATGTGGAATAAAACTTTTTTCATTTGAAGCTTTATTCTCAAGGAAATAGACTTTGAATATGTCAAAAATTGTTTTAGTACACATGTAGTTGATAAATTTTCAAACTCAATTTAAAAAGAAATGAAACGTTTTACAGTATTTTACTTCGTTAACAATTTTTGTTAATAAAGTTTTTACACATCTTCAAGAACAGCGATATTCAAAGTGATCAGCTTGTATAAAATATGAAAAGTAGAGTAATTGAATAAATAGAAATAAAGTAACTGAATAAATTGAATAAATTAATATTCATAGTTTAAAAGTATAATTAATAAATTTAAAGTTAAAAACAATATATAATTTTCTACAATTTTATTAATAAATAAATTAGAAAAATAAAATAAATGAATAAATAATAGAAAATAATAAAAATTGTTTTATATTTAATAAATATATAAAGATTATTAAAAAATTATTAAAAGATGTAGAACATGCAAATTCTTTTAATGAAAAATTAATATTAATATAAAAATTCTATTTAAAATTAAAAATTAAAATAAAAAAATTAAATTATATCAAAAATTTATAAAATGACAAAAAAGTAATTGGAATAAATTTTATAATTGTTGATAAAAAGAAATTTGTTGTCATGATGATTTTTTATAACAATAAATTATTCAATTATGAAAATATTCTTAGTTTAAAAAATAATATTAATATATTAGTATCGATAAGTATTACGGTATTTAATCATAGAAAAGAATTTTTATTTGAACGTCATATTTTTGGTTAGGTCCATAAAAATTTTAAAAATTCACCGTCTAATAATAAACAGGCAATTTATTACTTGTTTGACCTTATTACGATCTTCAAGTTTTCGTATTTCATCTCAGTTTTATTTTAGAAAACAATCTACAATATTTTAAGGTGTTTAATAAAATTTAATTGATTATTAAAAGAGTTTGTAAATTAATTTAATATAATATTAAACTCTAATTATATGTAGCTATGAATTAAGTTGTAATTATATTAATACAATATAATATTAAGATGAAATAGACTAAATTCTTCATATAAGGTTCAAAATTTGTAGAATGAATTCAACATTATTTAAATGTTATTTAAATGTTATTTTTGTAATGTTAATGAAATTTCTCATTGTCAGATTAGTTACATTCTTATATTTACATCTACATCTATATTTACACTTATTCACATTTTTGACCAATATTATATAATTATTATAATTAAAATTTGTGGTTAAACATTATTGATAATCTTTTTTATCACATAAATATCAGGTTTTAGCTTTAGCAAGTTATAAATTTTATCAAAAATTCAAATCATTCATAAATAAGATTCGTTTTAACATATAATTTTATAATAAATATAATAAATGTTTATAATATATTTATAATAAAATAATACATAAATGTAATATATAAATTATAATTAAACAATTGACAAATTACTGATTTTACTATGTTCAGCTAGTTTCAAGCTTTAAATTAATAACTTGATAAGTATCATTTAATAGCAATTTCATATGCAACAGTCTACTAATACGTGTTATGCTCTTAACTGTTTTCAGACAGGATAATGTTGAAGTCCATCCGAGATCTTTCTCCCTTTTTATAAAATTATGCTCTAATATTAGAATCTAAAATCGTGAACAGTGTGAGAAAATAAATCTATCACGAAATCAACGAAAGGAAATGATTTAGAAATGAAAAGTTCAATAAGTTTCACTTAATTGTAAAAATTAATAGTTTCATTTCAGCCCTAATTCTAGCTCACAGAAATTTTATGAACTTAATAACTTTGAAGTTAACAGTTTTATTCAAGCTTTCACAGAAATTTTGTAAACATAAAATGAAGTAATCTAAGAAATTTTAATGATTTTCTATGAATGGAGGCTGTCTGAATAGAAACCTGCACTTTTATTTTTCTGATACACATTTTATATTTTATGAGACAAGTTTTATGTTTCAGACATCGGTAGTCTGAAATATAAAATTGTTAAAAATCTATTGTAAGAGTTAAATGTCGATACAACCCGGATTTTATAGTTACATAGTACAGTGTGAGAACGTTTGATTATGATTATAGGATTTGCTGATTTAAACGTCGGTTACAAAAGTGTAAGATCGTAGTAAATCAGTCTTATTGCAGACACGTACGTTAGATAAATAACTATAGCTTCAATTACATAATTAACGTTCGACTTCGATACACTGATGATGCTAAAACTAACAAGGAACTTCGCATAAATTTTTGTAAAATCGTAGTCTGTCAAATAATATTTAAAAAAGATCTTTTTTTTTTATTGAGAATCGTGCATATTGAAGAATGAAGCTGTTAAAAAGTTTCAAGTAGGTACTTACGAAATAACTGCAATTTTATAATTTTTGTTATGTATTTTATAATTACGTATTATGTATTTTATAATTTGTTATTTGTATAAACTGTTATAAAAAGTATAATATAATTTTAAAATAAAAATACATTTTTAAAATAAAACAAAAATATAATTTTAAAATAGAATATATTTTTAAAAAATTAAAAATTTTTTTTGCCATAGATAAGTCTCGATCACCAAAATAATATTCATATTTATTGGTAACCAATATATAAACTTAAATCTGTTACCGATAGTGGTTACTAAGCTGAAAGAACCCTTAGGTGCTTAAAATTACCAGAAATTTAAAAGTTTCATATTGAATGAGAAGTATAAAACAAATATTTTTTGGTATATTTGTTCAATACATTATAATGTATCATCTTTCTTAAACCTTTAATAAATAAACTAATTATATTATTCTTAACTTTGAGATTATCTGTACAATATTTTAAACATTTAGAGAATGTTAAATATTAAACAACATTAAATTTAAACAATATTAAAAATACTTAAAGAATCAATAAAAAGAAATTAATGTTTATTCATCTTTTGGGAAATTTCTTTGAAATTTGTTGATAACTGGCTTCCAAAAGAATATTTAAAATAAGTGTTATCTTAGATACTCTGGTTAAAATGCAAATCACAGTGTATAGTATGCAATAAAATCACTTTGATATTCATATAGATATTTATTTAATACATACATAGCATACATTATAATAAAATACAACATGTAGCGTAGTACAATGTAGCACTCGTATTCGCGTGTCCCTTTCTTTCTTTTTCTCTCGTTCCAACATTTTCTCTTTGCACTTCTATTGATACACATAATACATATATATGTATGTGTAAAGTAAGTACAGATTACAAAAGTCACTTTCGTCATGTGCAAAGAAATAATGTATTATATAACAAATGAGACTGAAGGACATAAGAAATACAAGTCTATTAAAATTAGCAGTAGTCTTTTCGTATTAGGATTTATAAAGCGACATTCTAGTACATGATGTTTGTGGCAGGCATTTAGAATAAGGTCAATACGATCAGTAGATTAGAACCATGTTAGACATATGCAACACAGAGAGGATACCTAACACCTCGACATGTTGTTTATGACACAAGATCTTACAATATTTCCCAAAATCATTAAACAATCTTCTGACGATATTTCGAAGTTAGAAAAATCATTGTTTGAAAGAAACAGAATTTGTGATTAGAAGATAGTAGAAAATTGTCTTAGATAAACAGATTTTTAACACTAAAATTACCAGATCAAAATGATCAGTTTGTAATTTTTTACAGAAAAATTTTGTAAATTTACCACGGTGGATTTTTAAAGATATCAAAATATATGAATATTGTGTGTTTTTTTTTTTGTACTATAAACTTTTCCCTGTCAATTTTTTTACTACAAGTTTTACACTTTGTCAATAATTTTAGTATTAAGAAACTCTATAAATAATCAAGAACTATTTAGGAACAGAGAAATTCTAATCATTTTTTTGATATAAAAATACAGCAAAATAATATTGAATAAATCATACAGTAGAACATTATCGAAAATATTCTGAGAGCCGAATTTATGCAAATTGATATAATACATCTGTCCAAGAAGAAATCTATCAAAGAAAATTGCTTACGATTTTGAAAATTAATATATACGTTGTCTATGTTGTACCGTTCCAATTTATCTCGCGCGAGCTTCCGGCAGCTGAAATACGTTTCATCTTGATCAGTATCTTCTATAGGGATCCTCTTCTTCAGGATGAGCTGCGTTGTGCGCCAAAGCACGTTGTATCGCTACTGGTATCGGCGGCGGCGTTGGTAAATGAGCACCGGTTGGTTGAAAACCATTTTCGTCAGCGGTGTAAGTGACCAAAATTGGTGTGCCATCCGGCGCGGTGTAACTGAATTGTCCTCGTACGGATTCAATTTGATTTGGACCGACAAACTTTGGAACACCTTGCTCTGCTACGGATATGCCATTCTCTGTGTCGTAGCTATAACAATAATGCGCGAGTCAGAAAATTTTGAATTATTATTCCATTTTGGCGTATATGACATAAACAATATAAATGGCATGACACTACTAATAGAAATTATGTGTACGTGTAGTATTTAACTATTTTTATTGAGTAGAAAGTATATTTTGTATTTGTATGAACATATATATATATTTGTATATGCACACTTATATATAAACACATACTTGTAGAAACACATATTTGTACATGTAATACTTATAAATTTTTATACTTGTAAATACATACAAGTATGTGTATACTTTTTGTATGAATATACACTTGTGTATATATTTTTTATATTTATATATAAACGTAACATGTACATTTTATACTCGTATGTTTGAAATATATAAAAAATGAAAAGTATATATAAAAATATATATTTCAAATATACAAGTATAAAAAAAAATATATATATTTTTTTGTATTTATATATAAATGTAACAGGTACATTTTATATTTGTATATTTTATGTTTGAAATATATATATATATATATATATATATATATATATATATATACACATGTTTAAAATACATTTCGACAAAAAAATATTGGTAGTAGTAATTGTAATACTTTTACTAAAATGAGACATTATTTGAAAATTTATTTTATTTCACAGTGATGTATTCGAAAGGATATTTCCAATATATTTCAATCAGTATAAAAATAAATAATTATTTCAAATTGCCAAATGTAATATCGTCTGCGAAATAATCCCTGTAAATAAACAGTTTTATTTCTTATTTCAATCATTATTGAAATTTTATTTATGTAATAATTTATATTCTTCTACAGAAATTACTATTAAAAATTTTATTTAATTCAATTGCTATTGAAATTTTATTTATGTAATAATTTATATTCTTCTAAAGAAAAAAAGCCTTTGTCATTGTAATATACGTGTCATGTACATATCATAATTAATATTTTATCATTACAATATATTGTTAAAATACATATCGTCATCATTCATATTTTATAATTATAGTACGTTATTAAAATACTATTGAAATATGTTATCGTTATAATATATCGTCTACGTATAGTATTAGTATTTTAATACTACGTATATTGTTAGTATTTTAATATATTACAAATATTATCGATGTTTTATCATCGTAATATACTGTCAACATGTATGCGATGCATTTATATAATTCTAATACAAAAAAAGTTGTGAAAAATTTTACGGGTAAATTTACACACTTGTAGAAACAATAAGAAAAAGATTCTTTAATCTTGACATTCAACTGTGTACGTGCCAGAATCTTATTTTAAACCGTACACATACAACAATTGCAAATTACAGTTGTTCTTCGAAGTGTTGGATTCGTGGAAAGATCGAATATATATCGTTGCCATTGGATAAAAGTACCACCTCCGAGTCGATCCGATTCGTTAAACATTATATGACATAGGAGGTGCAAAGATCTAGGAATGATGTTCAGATTTACGCGTACATACATATGTACGTATGCACAGCGAAATAGACAGCCTGCTAGCAAGTAGGTAGGTAGGTAGGTAGGTCGATCGTAATTATTCTATTGTGTAATGTATTATTGCTAACTGCGCAGCCGAGTAACACGAATGATTAACATCAAAGCTAATTATATATCTTTTCACAGCTGAATATCCTGTAAGTCCTTCCTTTCCTTCGTTTTTCACTTCTCTGTTTACGCTTCCGTACTCCTGACTCTCAACGAAACAACCAGTGGCTGACATTGGAAAAATTATCTGTCTTTCAGAATTCATATGTTACGTTCAATGAGAATAATTATTTATTTTTTCTTTTTATACTTATTATTATTATATTATTATTATACTATTATTATTATTATTATTGTTATTATTATTATTATTATACTTATTATTATATACTTCTATAACCAAGGTAAAATATAGGTAAATAAATGAAACAAAAAAGATAAAATAAATAAAAGGCAAAAAGTAGTCGAAACTTTCAAATATTTGTTCTTTAAAAGAAAGTGTATGAACGTGCAATATAGATATATATCTTTAACACTTTTATACATATTACTGCAATATGAAAGGAAATGTAATATACATACATATATGTATAATGTAAAATTTCTACATATTGATAGAAGATATGTATAATTTATAAACCTATATAAACATATATCATAACATACATAAGTATGTAATATTTACATATATTAAAATAATTTTTATAGATAATTTTATTATTATTATATATATATAATTTTATTAATTTGATTATTTTATTTAATTCATTTTATTTATTTTTTATAGTAAAATAATCTCAAGTGTTTTTGATTATTTGATATTTATTATAATTTATTATTTTAATAATAAGATTAAAAATAGAATATTTTATATACTTGCAAACATCTACCATTTATTACGTTAATGTACATGTATATGTCATAAAATAATATTGATGTGATATAAATATCGATCTTTATTTTTATGAATATTCTTTCTTCTATGTATTGCAACGAAAAACTGTTGAAGTTTCATTAACGCTCTCATTATTCTGATTATATTTGATTAAGCATTGAAACAAATTTAAAAATGTATATAGAAGTTAAAAAGTATTAAGTGTTACTTAAGTAAACCTTAATATTCTACGTTAATACAAGTTTAATACTTAATTATATACTTAAAATGGTTATTAAATGGTTGAACATTGATTCCTTTATTAAATATATATTTGCAACGAATATCTTGCAAATCCTATATATGTTTTCAGACTGTTTTCAGATTTTATCAATATAATGTCTCTATTAGGATGCAGATTTTATGTATTTTAAAATTTTCATGAACATCACAGAAACAGAAGAAAATAAAGAGAATTTGTTCCACATATATATTACAACATAATATAAATTTGAATATTTTATATGGGTATACATTCTTGCAATTCCGAATTTTCCATAAATGCTTAAAATTCGCGTCCTATTCATTACAATGTTTATGAAATTTCAGAGCATTTTATATACTGGACAGTAATAACATAATGTAAAAATTCAAATATTTTCGTAAATTACTCTATCTATAATATAATTGTAAATATAAAGAGATAATATTTTATGAACTTTAATAATAACACAATTTAATATGTTATATAAAAACATAATTTTAAATATGTTTAAAAGTAAATTTAAATGTAATATCCAAAGTTATGAAATAAATTAATGGATTTATAATTGTTTAAAAATATAGATATACAATATTTATAAGGACATTAATATTTATAATAGATACGTAGAAGTTTCTAAATTAATTAAGGACTTGAACTTTGTTGGAGTATTTTACAAGGTTAAATCTACTCGTGACCTTAACGTACATATTTAATTATGATTGAGAAAATTCGAATGCAATAGAAATGCTAAATTACTATAAAAACTATAAAATAATAAAATTCTACAAAACGTTCTGTAGAAAGTTCTGAGTTGAAATTATTGTTTGTATAAAGTTATTTTACATTGACAGAGATATATGTATATAATAATTGCAACGAAAAAGTGACAAAATTAAATTATTAAACATATGTAATATTTCTGAATTAATTAAGAATTATACTATGAAATATTCTATTTGTTTTGAAAGTAAAAATTGTTATGGTCATATCCGAGATTTGTACATTTACATTTACGTAATTACTTCGTGAAAATCAAATTTCAGCGTGGGAGATACAACGAATATAATGGTTAGAATACATAGGCAGATGTTTCTATTTTCAAACGTACAAGTTTTATAACTTGATGATAGCAATTTGTGATTTTTGATGAGTAAGAATGTTACAGAATTTTTTATTTCTCTTTCAAATTAATACATACACCCCCTCATACAACTAACTAAGAAGAAAGATATTTATAATTTTTTTATATCTAACTAAAAAGAAAAATATTTGAAATTAGTAAAAATTTAACAAACATACAATTTACTGTAGGTTGAAATATAATAAAAAATCTATATAATAGGTTGAAATATAATAAAAAAATGACACGAAAATTCATTTCGATAAATTAATCTTTCTTGTAATTTCGAAGGAAAGTCTTATAATTTTTATAATAGCAGTTAATAATTTTTGTGTGCTAACATATTGTTGTAAGAACATTATAGAATGTTTCTATCTTAAATTAATAAAATATCTAATATATTTAATTATAAGAAGTTAAATGTACAATTATACATTAAAAGATAGTGAGAAGCACATAAACAAATAATGCAAAAATACTTCTCGATAAATATATATTTTTTTCATAATTTAGAAACAGAGTCTTAATTATTATAAATTAATAATGGGATGATTGAGAATTTTTATGAAAATTTATATTTTTAAAAGAAAAATGGAAAATTAATAGAAAATTATTTTATATAGCAAATATTGCAAAGCATTCTGTGCAATTTTCTACTTTCAAATTTTCTATAAATGCATAAAAACAATATAAATATATATCTTGCTGTTTAATAATAGCAATTACTAATTTTTGCATACCAAGATATTAGTGTAAGAACATTACAAAATATATAACATATAAATATTGTTGTAATTAATATAAATATCATTTTATTATATTTATCTCATACATTTTGTTAATCATAAGAAGAAAAATATTTCAAACAGGTAAAAATTTAGTTTATAATTATAAAAGATACTAAGATATTGAAAATAATGCAAAAATAAATACCTTCCGATAAATAAATTTTCCTTATCTAGATAGTCTTGTAACTTGATATATTTAATTAATTGAAAAATATATAATACAGTTATAAGTTGAAGGATGATAAAAAATATATAAAGAAAGATGCAAAAATATTTTTCGATAAATAAATTTGGAAAGAAAGTTTGCAGTTTGATTAATGCTAAGATATTATTGACGAATTTCTCCTTTCTTCCTCTCTCTTAAATTAATATAAATATTTCGTACATTAAACGTGCTATAACTATTTAACGTCGTAAGAAGAAAGTATTTGAAACAGATCAATATACAATTATATATTGAAAGAGAATTAAAAAAAAAAAAAATACGTAAAGATAAGTATTTTTTGATAAATAAATTCCTCTTCTAATTTTGAAAGACGATCGATTAATAAAAATATCTTGTATATTTAACTAATCATAAGAAAAAGAATGTTCGAAACAGATGAATAATCACATCTATATTTACTGAAAATGAAAAATATATGAAAAGCAGAAATATTATTCAACAAATAAATTTTTGAAAGGAAGTCGGATGTCACACGTTTAAAAATACAATCGAAATCATCATACGTTTTATGACAAATCGCGAATAATAGAACTGCGAACGAAGAACAACGTGTACAAATGACAATGTGTTTTTAGAATTAAGACTACAAGCGAGACTCTTCGAGCGTGTCGAGATTGCTTTTGAGGAAACGTACCTCGACGACGCTTATCGTTCTGTCGACGTTCAGGACGATGTGGAAGGACGATCTCACCTGTAGGAATACGATCCATCCGGAGAAGAATCTTGCGACTGTCGCAGTATAGCGTAACGTCGACCGTAATAGTCAGGATTGTATGGGTACCTGTTGAATTGCGCGCAGACCATCGTCGTCAATCCCAGAAAGACCTAGACAAAGAAAAGTTTACAGTATGGGATTTTTAAATGTCACGAAATATCAGATTTTATTGTTTAATTCAGCTTTGCAATGTTATGATTATACAAATTAAATGTAAATAATAAATTGTAATTGTAAATAATTATAATACAAAATACAATAATAATATTTATAATTTAGATAATAATATATAATTAAAATTTAATTGCAAAGATAATTTAATATCGTTAGTAGATATCGGATTATATTTCATTGTACTTTTTGAATATGTATTTGTGCAATAGATTTTTAATATGATAAATTTTTAAAACAGTCCTGTTTCATTAGATTTTTAGATTTCATTTAGGTTTTTAATAATAGATTCAATAAAAATAAATTTAAATCGACATGATTCCATTTTACTTTAATTTAGATTTTTAAATATTGATAAAATTATTGATCATTGCTTCGTGTCAAAACTGTTAATTTCAAATGAATCACTTATTTCCATAATAGAAAATTTTTATATTTAAATAATTTTTATTAGCGTAAAAGTGTCTACTATCAGTGTAATAATTATAATGTTGTAATTATAATGAGTGTAAACTTAAAAAAGGAGTTTGTTTTAATAGTTTCACAAGAAACTAATAAAATTCTTAATTAAGGCATCAAACGTTTATGATATTAAATTTATATTAATTTGATCAATTTATAAGTAAAAAGAGAAAATGGTGTCAATATAAATAAAAATAGCTTTATTGATATTTTAATATTTTAAAAAGTTATAGTTCTATGAATTTACTGAGTTACTGATTATGAATTCATATTTAAATATATTTGTTAACAATAAACGTATATAATTTTGGTATAAATATATATATATATTATATATATATATATATATAATTTGGTATAAATAAATATATATATATATATATAATTATTAATTTCACTTAATCTTTTATTAATTACAACTGTATATGAATATATTTATAATTATACAAGTTTATATTTATCTTGAATGTAAGAGAGAATATAATGATATTTAGTTTATAAATGAATATTTCATTTATCGAAATAATTTGGTTGTATGTTATCACAAAAATAGTAAATTGATGGATACGATTTCCCTGGACAATAAATATCATAATTTTCGCAGTTGAATGAAACGTTAATATCGACTAAACATCTTCAGAAAAAGTGACAGATGTGCATATTTCTCATTTTTATAATAACATGATAATTAGCTTCCAGATATATCTACGCTTTTAATTAACTTCATTTTTCGCAGAGGATAGCTTGCTTAACTGCATATATTAGATAATAACAAAGAACAGCTAATAGAATGGATCGCAAGTGGGCAGACAGCTATGTAAGTTATGAATAATGATTATGTGCAATTGATGCGCTGTGCATATCTTGGCTTCAGTATTTTATCTTCATAATAATATTATTGATGAAATTAGTGATGAAATTATCCTTGTTAGATAAAACAATATAATTTACAAAAATAATATATAGATAAAATATAACGTAATAAAAATATAATTTTAAGAAAAAATATATCATAGATTTTTTCTCATGATCATTAATTTATTATACTTATACGCCAAGTATGCACTAATTATCCTTATCGCATTATGCAATAATTATCTTATGAAAATCATTATTATTATCACATTATGTTATTAATGAAATTATTTAATAAAAAATATAAATACGTACTTAAATATATAAATAAATAAATAAATAAATATATATATTTATTTATATACACGTTGCAGATTTTTTTTCTATATTCATTAATTCATTATATATATGCAAAACAAGTATATAATAATTCTTTCAATTCTCAACTCTCAATATAATAATTCTTTTCAAGTATATAATAATTTCTGTATTATTTTTCTCAATAAAATATATCTGTGTATGATATGATATGTGTCTATTTATGTTGAGTATATTTATAAAATTTTAATGTAATTAAGACAATATTAATGCAAATAATTAATAGAATATATTTAATATATACTACTTATTTATTATTAATATTTTATACTATGTAATTTTTATTAAGTGAACTTATTTTTAACTTTTATTAGTGTATTATTAATGTAATATTTAATATTATATATTACTCGTAATTAAGACAATTTCATAAATATGCAATTAAAATTTTAAGTTGACAAAACAATGTTGAACTTGTATAAAGTTAAATAGTTAATAGTTATGGTAGAATATAGTTAAAAATTACATGTATCTGAACGTATATTATGTTAAACCATTGTTGCACAAAATGATCTTTGATAAAAGATCATTTATCATAGTTATTTTTATTAATATTACGTTTCAGTGAGCAATTATTATTATAATTATTAAAATTAAAAGAATTTACAGAATACTTTGAACCAAAGCATTGCAATAAATCAATATGTATTAAAATATTAATAATATTAATAATAAACATTATTGATATATGTTATTAATATATATTAATAATGAATACAAATAATTTTGTAACTACTTTCTTTCATAATATATATCACAATATTTAGAAAATGGAAATTTGACAGTTTTATAACTTCTATCTTGTAATTTTTATATTTCATTAATTATTATTTTATATTTTCATAAATTCATAGAATTTGAAAAATAAAAAATCTTCAATAAATTTAACAATTTTGTATAATTTTATTCATAATAATAATAATAATAATTTCAATAATTTAATTGAATAATTTTTTTGACAATTTTAGTGTTTAGTAAATATATGAATATATAGAGAAAAAGAAAGAGAAGATGTATTACGAAGAAAGTATTAAAAATAATATATATAATTGAGAAAGAAAATAGATAAAGTTATTCGTTTACACTAGATTTATAAACGTATAAATATAAATTACTTGTTTCTTAATAGACATTGAAAACCACAATTTTTGTTAACTGATAAGAGTAACATCATTAATTGTTAGTGATTATTTATTTTTTTCAGAAGAGATTAATAATATTTTAAAACCTGAAGAAATTTGTACAGTTTTACTATAAAATCGCAGAAATAAGTTTGAGAATTTTAGAAGCAAGGACGAGTTTAATAACTTTATCTCGTCGTGGGAATTATATTAATCATGTTGAATGTATTTGCATTCAAGTTTAAAATACAATGTTAGATATTTAATAACTCTGGTAATAAACAGACTATGGTCTTTTATGCATTTTTATATTTTTGTGAACATAGCCGAAGAAATGGAATTTATATAAAAATTTGCTTTATGCAAAAATTTCACATAATTTGCATGCTAATTCACTAAATGCATCCTTTCATTTTCCAATTTTCAATAAATTCTTAAGAATCTGCAGTTTGCTTAATATTTTCAAAATTCTCTCTCATGATATTTATAAATAGAGTACAGATTTATAGAAAATTTTTTAATGCAAAATTACACAGAATGCATGTAATACCTACGAATTACCCAAATTGTAATGTTTGCTACGCAAAATAATTTCAATAATTATACGTAAAATAATTTTCAATATAAATTCTATTTCTTTAATTACATTTTCATGAATATGAATTCGCATAAAAATTCGCAATTTGTTTGCAAAGATATTCGAACGAACACTAAGACAATCGGCCTATCGAAATATTCTATTTATAAATCATTATAAATAGAATATTTATAACTAATAAATAATTAAAATACATAGGTTTCTAGATAAACAGATATGTAAAATAATCTGACTTTACCAATTTTGTAAATAAATAAATAAATAAAATCGATATTAATTTTAACAAAAGTACTCGTATCTTTTAAGCAATTACAAGAAAGAAAATCTGAAATCGATCATATAGACAAATTGCATTATTTTAACACTAGAACTAAAGTATAAAATTCCCATCAGCCACATTAAAGTAAAAAAAAAGTAGATCTTTAGAATACAATAAATTGCACAAGCTTCCATTTATATATTTCACAAAAAAATTATTTAATCATCTCTTTAAAAAAAAATACACTCTTTTGTATCTACAAAATTCTGAATTGGTCATTTTGGTAGTTCTAGTGTTGATGATTAAACAGTGGAAATGGAATAGTACAGTACAAGATTGCACTCACGAAAATCTTCATGATGACCATGCGAGCTTTGCAACAGCAAAGGAAATGAAAATCCGTGGAAGATCAGTCCGCGAAGCCACCCGGCACCACACGATTTCCTCGGTAAGGTAATATTCGATCCACTTTAATTTTCGTAAAAGCACGTGACAAGAGTTGGTGCGATCCTGTAGTGCCTAGAAATACGACATTCAACGGATCACGATGAGGCTTTATAGTCGCCACAGTCCTATGCTTCTACTTCCTTCCCGCCCCGCCACTCATTCAAACAGGCTGAAGGGGAACAAATATGTATTAACTCTTCGTGTAATTCGCAAGTAGGGTAACGATTGTGTTTACTCGCGAGTAGATTGGCGGATTCTTCTGAAAGTTCGAATTTTTGAGAATAGAATGAATATACTATTTTCGAGTTAAAATGAACATATTGTAAAAACTTCTGAGCTAAGTAATTTTGCTGACTTGGAATGTATTTTGTAGATTTTTTTCATGCATTTTTGCATTTTAAATTTTACATGTTTAAACGCGTGAAAATCCGAAAAACGGAATGGAATAATCTGTGATTAAAATAAATAAAGGATAGAATGAAGAATAAATAGAATTGCATGATCTCTGATTGAAATAAATAAAAGAGGATAAATTATTAGTAACTATTAAAATACTATTATTAAATTATTATTATTGCTATTACTACTATTAATTACTATTTGCAAGATAATTTTAATAGTAATTAACAATAATAGTAATAGTAATAATAATAATTTAATAACAGTATTGAAAAATTTTAATAGTAACTTATAGATAAATTATTAGTTACTATTAAAAATTTTTAATACTGTTATTAAATTATTATTATTACTATTACTACTATTGTTAATTACTATTAAAATTATCTTGCAAATATAGAAAACATTCATATACTTTTTAATGAATTTGGTGCAACGATTTTTTTTCAACGTTTCATTAAACTTTCAATATTAAATGACAAAAATTGAAAAAATTCAAATATTTCATCGTTTAGTTTTAATTTCAAAGTTCAATAAGATGGTAAAGAAAGATCGCATAGTAGAGATTTAAGGAGTTATTCTAAAAAGATTTCAGTTTTTCAAGATCTAGTTGTGAAAAGAATTTTTTTGTTATTTTTAGAAACAATTGAATTTTTATGATTTTCGAGAAAAAAGTATCTTTACTTCCCCACTCGCCAGATGATGTAACATTGTCTTTGAAAGAAACGAGTTCAAAACTGTGAAAGTAGAGTTTGCTATTTAAGCTTCAAAGCTTTAAAGTGAGATCAAGTTGATATAATTTGTTTTTACAAAGTTTGTTATAACGGTTTGAATTATCGACAATTTTTCATATTGTATTGTTCTTAAATAATATTTAAATTAAATACGGATTACATATATATCTATATCCATAATAATCTATCTCTATTATACCCTACTGTAATGTTCTTGTTCGTGCACATAGACTATGCAAAAAAACTTATAAAATTTATGTTTACAAAATATGTGAACCTGCATGACAAATATATGTAACGAAAAACATATAGAGTTTGTGAATAATATGTTATTCGATAATAATCGAATTCAACATTGCGCAGTCGACGTTGCAATTATTACAATATATTATTACAATATATTATAGTTCGTATTTGTAAAACAATTATTGATATTTGCTAGTTCACATTAACTTGTTAAAATCCTAAGAAAAAATGTTCTACACTATGGCAACAAGTACCCATGTTTAAATCTGTTTCAATATTGTTTGATGTTTGTTGAAAATTTTGAACAGGCGAGAATGAATTCAACGACACAACATTAGTATTGCTTTGATTTTCGTTGTTTAAGTTTAATATTCAAAATTCAATGAAATGGTGAAAAAAAGATCACGCATTAAATGTTAGGGAGTCGTTGTAAAGGGGAGAATCTTCAAATCCATTGTTGATTCGATCATAAAAAAAATTTTTCAATACTTTTGCATACTATGACAATTCATAGCTTTCTCGAGAAGAAAAGTGTCTTTATTTTTTCATCATGCAGTCATATGTTTGAAAAAAAACATCGACGATCTTGAAAACTTCGAAAAAAAGCAATCTTTGAAACGAAATAATGCTTGCAGGATATTGACCATTTAATATTATTCAAATTCGTATAAAGACAATTTAAATGTGCTTATTAATATAAAAATATCATATAATCATAAAAATATATTTTTGCAATTTGGTATTTTGAAATTCTCTATAAGTGCATAAAAATCGACAGTCGTTTAATTATTCCTGTTATGTTATATTCTTTATTCCTATTATATCTCTATTTTATAATAATATATTAGTTTACTGTTTATTGACTGCTTTTTGTTTTGTGTATGTGTAACACATTCGTAGTTTTATCAATTTTATCAATTGCATAAAACTTTATTAATTATTGGACAATGAATACCTTTTTCTTGATTTTTGTGCAGTTGCTTCGATATTCGATGATTCTTTGGAAATATTATGAAATACAATAGTATTGTAATAAAATATAATTATAATATAATAACAATAATATAATATAAAATTTTTTGGAGAATGTATAATTACCAAAAGAATGTTTAAATTCTAAAGGAAAGATAAAAATAAGTTAACACAGTTAAGTCATGTATAACAACGTAAGATAAGTATAATACCTACAATAGTACATACATAAGTATAATACAGTTAAGATAACGAAGTTATAAATAATAAATTTCGGTACATTTTTTAAAATTCTACAAGAAAATATAGCATAAAGATATCTTGTTATTTAGAATATTTTATCATTTAGAAAATGTAAATAAGTATTGTTTACAATTATTATTTATATCTATTGATAAATTATCACTTCTAAAACATATAATTAATTTTAATAGAGATTTCAGTTAAATAATTACTACTCTACAGTTGGAATATAGATGTAACATTAGCATATCTTTTCCCTTTTCTAGAAGAGAATTCTAAAAAGAAATTGTCTTTTTAAAAGAAAAACATATATAACAAAAATGACCATGTTGAAAATTAGAAAGTAGATTAACTATGTGTTTTATTGAACAATTTAAACATATTTTTAATTATCTATTAATATTTGTATGCATGTAATATTTGTACACTTATAATTTATCATAACTGTTTTAAAAACAAATTTTAAATATTATGGTGTCAGAGTTAATATCTTTAACTATTATATATACAATAAAATTTTGTTGACGAATAATCATTAGAAATATAATAACTGAACTATGGATTTTTATGCATTTATAGGAAATTTTAAAATGTGCAGAAAATGCACATATGTAAAAGGATATATACATATATCAGTGTTTTTTATAAAATTCAGTGTGTACAACACAATTTTCTCTATCAAAGATATATTTTTTCAATTATATTCTCAAAAATACAGGTTTACATAAAAATTATATATATATAATTTAATAAAGTTATATTAATGCTACCATTAAAAATTAGTTACAAATTTTGATTACTAGTAAGTAATTTTGGTTACTGATATCTAAATTGCGAAATTGTATACAAATTTATATAAAAAATTTATACAAATTTAGATTTTTCTGAACACAGTTATTGAAATTAATTTTAAATAGAAATTTATTTTCATGTAAATTTATTAATAGTATATTTTAAATTTATATATTTTTGTATTATATTGTATAGATTCTGTACTTTATTGAATTTGCAAATTTTGCATAAATGGATAAAAATCCACACTCTATTGATAACTAATATTTTTAACTGTATTTAATTATTGTTAATTTTATTTTTAAAAAATAATAAATAAAAGCTATAAATAATACTTTGGAATGATTTTCGTCAAAATTAATACTGATTTTTATTTAAACAGAAACTCAATTGGATAAACCTATTTATTGTCATTTATAATGATTTACATATAAGTAAAATATTTTAATACGTTTTAATATTAAAAAATCTGTATGAAAACATTTTCAATATGGTTCGAAACAAAAATTTCATGAATTGACTTTCCATTCAAAACAATGCATCTGATTATAAATTTACAATGACACATTTATTTAAAAAAAGAAAATAATAATATATTTCTTCAAATTAAAAAAACATCTCAAGTTTAATGAAATTCTTATTAGCGCAAATACATACACTACGCTAAAAAAAAAGAAAAAATCTGAACAAAATATGAACAAGTTCTTATTATTACGCATTATCTTTTAATTAAATTTCACACTAAACATCTTCCAAAGATATTGCAATTAAAATGACAAATAATTATAGTGATTATAATAAATAATAAATAATCGCAAATTTAATAAAGATGCATTAATAAATTAATTAATAAATAATATATAATTAATAAATAAAGATAATTAAACTTATACTGAAAATATTATAAAGTTTGTTTACTAGGCTGTATGATCGAAATACAAAAATTCGAGGAGTACCACTCATTGCGTTTATTTATCCTTTTCATCAATATCTATCAATCGTATACGTTAAAATGAAACTGAAGGGATCCCACATTCGAATTGTATTTTACATCGGAATAATTTCGAAACCGTCTGAACTCTCATGCACGCTGGTACACGCATCCATCATACGAGAAATACGAGTAACCCTCTTTTCCACCTGGCATTCCTTATTAACATTTAAGAAATTTCTCGCTTGTGGATCGCCATACTGACAATTATACTGTCTGACTCGCGTGTTTAGCCAAACAACGATCATTCACTAAGCTGAATTTCCAACAGGATGGATACGTACACGCTACGCGGCCGTCAAATAAGCGTTATTAAATCGGCCAGTCGGTAATGTCCCGTAAGACATGGAGCGAGGCGACCTCGCCGCAAGATTCAGATCGCCGGATTTGCCACGGATCATCACAGGGCGTATTCCTTTCACTGGTTGCCTGTTACGAGCAGGATGCACAATGCAACGATTCGCTGCACAGGCATCGGGTCGATCCTTGCGACACTCCCTGGCTGGAACACTGACGCATTCTCGTTTATCGTTCCACGTTCCGCGAGAACTCTTCTTCACGGAGATTTTTGCAGAATCGATTCGAGCCTAACTTACAATTTCCCCTAGCGCCTGTCGCTGTCTGGCGCAGTGACGGCGGTCATTCGTTTCCAATTCAGACTGTGACACACATGGCGAATGTGACCAAGGGGCAGATGTTAATTGCGATGTTAATAATTCGTTGGAAATTAATAGTAGATAGGTGGCTTCGTAGGTGGCGTCCATCTAAAGATCAAATTGCAACGAGATGTTCTTCGTCGTATTTTTAGATTTCAAATTATTTATTTTCAATATTAACAATTAACGAATTAATGAATTGAGAAATGTTAAAATGACAAAATACTTTTGAACGATTTTAACCTCGAGATGATTTGATATTTGAATATTAAAAATATTGTAATATTGTATATGTCTTAAATTTAGGGTGAAAAAAATTTTTAAATCTTAATTCTTCGAATACTTTAGAATATTATTATTAGATTGCGAATGTTTGGGCAAAAGAGCATATCTTGCGTATTTCAATTAAAAAATATTTACATATTACATGTTGAATAATTTCTTTCATATTTATCTGACTATATTTAATTACTATTGTAGATGATGAAAAAAAATCACAATAATATTGGAACACAGACAAATATACATTTGTATAATTTAGAACGTTCTATTTTAGCATTTTAGTATTAACTAACAAATGTCAATAAATGAATGTTATAAATATGAAAACAATAATATATAGTATAGAGTATATAAGATTATATAAAAGACAATAAGATATATAGTATATAAGACTATATTATTGTAATAATTTATAATAATATTAAATTTAACTTTTTAATTAAATATAACGATATGATGATGATGAAGATTGGTAATGATTATTTATTTTATTTTTTTTAATATAATGATGATACATAAAATTAAAATGTTGCCTCTTATTATTCTTATTTAATACAAATTAAATCTATACAAATTGCTATGGAAATAAATAAAGATAACAAAAAGCAAATCAAATCTAAAACTGAATTAAATGGTTAAATAGTTAAATAAAAGATAACTGGTTGTACTTTTCGAAAGCACTTAAAAATTACGATTCATTTAAAATTAATTATGCACGTAGTTATTAAACGTGCTTAGGTAAGAAAGATTTGACACATACATATTTGAAGTCACAGAACTCTGAAATCTTAGTTGTTGCTTAACAGTTTAATCTGCTTCCAAGATATATCAAATTCTATGATAATTCGATACTTTGTCACTGACTTACGGCGTCGCAATTACACGTTTTTATCGTGACATTATTACACTATAACATTTATATTTCAATAGATCCGAACCTCTGCATAATCTTTCATTTTATGTATGCAATTCACGGTTCTTCATTACAGAAATAGCCTCTCTCTGAAGTATCTGTTCACAAAAGATGAATATTTCTAAATCATAGTGACCTATATACAACGTGCTACTGAAAGTATTGCACCAAAGAAGGCATTTTAACATTTTAATTTTACGTAGAAGAAAATTTTCAAAAAAAGAATTGGAATACTGTTGATAATTAAAATATCTAAAAAACTATAAATGTTATTTTTTTAGATAAAAAAATACGTTCGATTTTTCAGAATAAGAATTAAATACATACAGAAATTTTCGTAGAAAGTTTTATTTATAAAATAATTGCTTTCACAATCTACAATCTTTTTGCAAATATAGTTACTCACATTAATATGCAAACACTAAACACTCAGACTGTTACAAACTCATCGTAGATTCAGTTGTGAAAAAAATTTTTCAATATTCTTACGTGTTATAATAATTTATGGCATTTTGAAGAGGAAAAGTATCACTTTTCCATTCCCTAATATCTTGGAATAAAATCAATGGTATTGATAATTTTGAAAGTTGAGGCTTCAAGCTTCAAAATGAACCCAAATTTATCGTTTTATGAAATAGTAAAACAGTTTAAATATTAGTGACTACATTATTATAATTTGTTTTTAAATATACTGTTATATTACATATATTATATATTATATATTAAATAATTATTATATTATTATAATTATTAATGCGCGTAACTATATGTACAGATTCGTAAATTTTACTTTTATAAAATATTTTTAGAAGTAATAGAATCTCTCAATATTTATTTTGATATTCGTTTTACTGCAAAATCGTTTATTTTGCATATGATCATCTGGTACTAAAAAAAGCGAGAATACAAAAGTACTAAAATTAGATTTGTTTAATATAAATTACACAAAATGTTTGACATAATTTACATAATGATATTGAGAGAAATTACAAAATAGCAATGCAGAGTGTGGAAAAAGTTTCTTTTCTTTACTAAAATAACAAATTCTAATATATATATATATATATATATATATATATATATATATATATATATATATATATATATATATATATATTAATATTGCATATATTATTATTATAATAATATTGCAGATATTATTCTGTAGAAAAGAAATTACGCAATATGCTATGTATTTTACAATTTTTATGCTCTTAATAATCGCAACATCTTCAGAAAGGAATTGGAAAGTTAGAATAAATGTATTGTTGTATTGTCCAGTAACATGATAGGTAAAGTATCTCTTCATCTAGTTTCATAATACACCATGATTTGATCCGAAGATTAACCTAAAACATCTTGCGTTTCAGCAGGACCCTTATAAAAAAAGTGAATGAATTAAAGATTTGCATAGTCATGATAACAATGAACATTATTGGTCTGTTTCACAATCAGATGATAACCGATAGGGATACCAGAAACTAAACCTGTAATTGTTGAATCGGCTAATAGATTGACGGTCATAAATAAAATAAAACTAAATTGGCAATGAAGCTGAAACTAAAAAGGATTCAATTCCACTTAGATTGTTTGTGCAATATTTGCTTATTATGCTAGTGAGTAATATTTCGAGCAATGCCATACATATAATTACGAAATATGTAGTTTATCTAGTTTAGAATACTTATTTATATTTAAAGCGAAAGAATTATGACAGAAAGTCTAAAGCTTGAAATCAATACTTTCAAAATTCTTTTATATATATATATATATATATATTGTATTAATATGCTACGCTAAATGCAAAATAATATTTTATACTTTACACTAATATGAAATGCAGTTCTCCTGATCGATAACTAGCAATCCAAATAAACTTTCGTCGGTAACTACCATAAACAACCGAAATAAAATTCCCCTCGTCAATGGTAACGAAAAAAATTTTTCGATAATTTACAATTGTTATTTATAACTAAAATATTTAACTTCTTAATCGTGTAGCTTCAAAAAAAATTTTTTTTAACCTTCTGAGATTAATATTCGCAACATAAATAATGAACAAATTTCAGTTACTGACTTTTCTTATAATTTGCGACAACTATTATTTTTGGCCTCTAAGATGTATTAAAACACTTTACAATATACAATTTTACAAAAAATTATTTCAATCTCCAACGATACATTATTTCACATCTGTAAGAGACCTGACAAAAATTATAAATTGATCATTTTGACCACTTTGGTGAACGTGACAACCCACATTCCTTCATTTCACATGCATACAGCATAATAAAATTTCTCACCTAAACTTTTTATTTCCAAGAAGCATTACACATGCAAAGAACATCGCAAAGGAATGTAAACCTTAGACCATCGATTATCTGTATTGTTCATCAGATGAAGATGGGTGGGTCGGGAAACCACAAATCTCATGCTGAGGCGTGATATGACCTCTCAGTTATGCTGTACAGGATTAGCTAAGAAGAGCACACCGACATAATTCGCCCTCGGATCAACGCTCGTCATTATTTACTGCATTACGGTATTAAAAGATCCGTTGCTATTATGAAACGTCGCTTCTATTATTGTTCAAACGTCAAAGGTATATTTCATCGATACAAACGTTTCAGTGTATTGTGAAGAGCTAGTTTTATTCTTATTGTCAGTGTATCTGGTTATTCTAAATTCAATAGATAGGGAAAGCTTTTATTCCTGAAAATGGTAAAAGTTCAAATTGAAGAATTTTTCTTCGTGATTAGAATTCACGATTACTTTCTTTTTACGACGACTTTTTACTTTTTCTTCATCAGCAATTATTTTGTGTACAAATTAAATTATTTGTATACAATTTAAATTATTTAATATATATTTAACTTTAACTTTCCTTTTTTTTATTAAATATTTCAATAACTTATAATAGAGAATAAAATCGGAAATTAAACATTTTAAAATAATAAATTATTTATATTAAAGAATATTTTTATATCGGAAGTGTAATGCTATCTTTTTAAACTATATAAATAAATTTTATTACATTATGAAATTTACATTTATATATAAAATTAGAAACTTTGTTTAATTTATTTAATTATGTGTCATATTATATTATTTTATATATCGTATTAAATATAATATAATTAGAAATATATTAAGTAATATATATTATTATAACTATACAAACATAACATATGATTATATATGTAAATATTACATATAATTTTAATTATTATTATATAATTTTATCTTATTATAAGCTTAAATGAAGCTTCTAATTTTATAATATATAATATAATATAATTTATAATATATAAGCTTAAATGAAGCTTCTATTTTTATATATAATATACATTATATTAAATATAAATATAAATAAATATTCTTAATTATTATAATATTATTATATTATATTTATATATTGTTTAACTCTATAATTTATATCATATCAAATTAAATTAAATTAGAATTTTATTAACAATAAAATAATCCTATGATCATGGTGTTACAGCTATAATTCATCTATTATTTTCAATATTAATAGTCGTTTAATATTGAAAAATTGGAATTACAGCCCAGCTAAGATCAATTCAATATCAGTAATTGAGGAGTGTCTTTGACAATTAATACTCGATAAAAAAAATTACAGATCACGATTGTGCTTTTTAAAAAAATGAATAAATATTACAGAATCACGTAATTTTAAGGGATATACAAGGGCCAGATTATTGACAATTTTTCATCAGTTACTAATTACACCATGCTCTTATACTCTATTTTAAGAACGGCGAAATAAAATATCTTTGTCACAAGAATTTTGAATAAACGTTTATTATCGTACGTCTGTTATGTACAAATTATAATTTCACTTGGCAATGCGAAGAAAATGAATGTCAAAGACTAAAGTAAATTCAAAGATTTTATTGTTCCGGTTCCGGTTGTGGATGCGTTCTGATATATTCGAGGGCTCTTTGGATTAACAGGGGAACAGCTGGAATATGCTCGCCCTGCGGTTGGAATCCATTCTGATCAGCAACGTATGTCACTCTGACTGGTGTACCATCGGGGGACGTATATTGATACTGTCCATTGGTAACGATAACAGGTGCGCTTCTTGCATCTGTAGCTACTGGAGCTCCATTTTCAGAGTGATATATTCCATTCTCTGTCTCGTAGGAATAAGAGTAGGATCCGTCGGCGGAAATATCCTGGGATTGTTTGAGGATAGTTGCTGGACGAAGCACATCAGCCGAGGCCGCAGCTAAGAACATCACCACCTGAAACAAATGTGCAATTACGCATAAACATAATAGTTATAAATACAATATTACTTATGGAATAATAAATATAAATATTATTACATTATTAGGGATTTCTGTTTTATGTATTATGTATGTCATATGTTTGTGAATATAAACTATATTTCAATCACAGGTAGTATATTAACTTTGTACTATACTAATATTTAAATATAAATTTATAAATATGGATAATATTGGATAATATTACTCGTGTACATGTATGTTAATACATGTGTTAATACGTAAGGAATTTATATTATTTAATTAAAAAGTTAACAGATAGCTTATTTATGTCGAACTAATATAAAATTTTTTAATTAATTAATTAAATAATTTAGAAATTATTAATATAAATTTTTTTAATTAATTAATTAAATAATTTAGAAAATATTAAGCGTAATATTGTTCATAAAATAATTTATAAATATAGTTATTATATTATTAATTATTTATGCACATTATATTATATCCATTTTATATATTATATAGTACGTATATTTTATGTATGTAATGAATTTTGTAATATACTAATATATTAAATTCATATCCAAGTATAATATAATATAAATTTATAAATACAGATAATATTACTCATAAAATTGTAAATAGTACGTATTAATATATAATACAAAATTAACTTCATGAAGAATTTATATTATTTCATTAAAAACTTAGTATCTGCATATTTATGTCAAACCAACAAAAATCTTTAACATTAAGTGATTTATAAATTATTAATATTAAGCATAACATTATTCGTGAAATAATATATAAATATAAATATAAATAAAATTCTATAGATGTATGTAAATAGTATTGCTTGTGAGATTATAGATATTATGTAAAATTAGTTTCACAGGGAGCAAAACTTTATATTAATTAAAAATTGATGCATATTTACCTATATGTATTATATATGAATTAAATGCCATGGATTTGTGAATTACAGACACATGAAATTTTGTGAGAAACAGATTTTTGTTTAAATAATAGAATTCAACTTATTGATTCAATAATGATTTTGATATCTAATAATGTTACCAAAGAATTATTTTGTATGATTTTTATTAAGGGACTGTATTAGCTTCACTTTTGTCTGCACATATTTTTATAATTATATATTAAATCCAACTATTCTACTTTTTAACAAGTAATATTATTAATTTAGCTACACATTTCAGGGAAAATTTAGAATAATTTGGATTAGTAATACTAGCTATTGATAAACGAAATTTTAAGAGGAAATTTAAAACGTGGAAAACAGCACAAAAATACACCTATTATAACTTTCTTAGAACGAATGTATGAATATAAAATTCAAACTTTCTTGCAACAATGGATCTTTGTAACCAATTATAATAATAATTACTTAGTTGTTATTATTATCTAAAAAAAGAGGACTTTTCATCGATTTTAACGATCTTGAAACATGTTGTTATTATATCATACAACTGAACAATATCACTCGGTCTTAGTTTTCGAGATACGTATTTATAAAAATATGTTCCATACTTTTTGAAGGACAAATTTCATTTATTTTGGATCTTAATTCTTTACATTCCTAATTCTTTTTCAATTTCCCCTGAGATTTGGTATCTTTTACTGGAAAAGAAAAATTTAAATAATTAAAAGAAATTTTATTTAACCTTTAATAATATAGTTTAATCTTTAGTTTAACTTTAATTTAATCTTTAATAATAATACATTACAATATATTTTATTTAATCTTTTCAATAATAATATAGAAGCGTTTTCGTCGCAGATTCAATGCCATTTCCAAATAAAAATGATTATATTACTCTCGAAATGACTTTTACAAATCAATCACGTCGAATCACAAAGAAGCTCAAAGGATTAATTCTCGAGTCACTAGAAATCCTTTTCGTGACTGTTGTTATTGTATAAAATGAAGCTATCTTGAAGATGACACAGTTTTGAAAATTTCGCTGAAGGTTTCCTACGTACGTATATCTCGGAAACTAAGGCCGTAAAAGTAACATGTATGTACAAGGGAAAGTTGTTTAAAACGATGACCTTGACAACATATTTTAAGGTCATTGAAATCGCCGATGAGTCCCGTTTTCTAAATAATTATCGTGACTCGTGTCAAATTTTCTTTTAACAAAACATCACTCGCAAATGAAATTACCAAAAAACTATCACAAATCCATTTATAAATACAATATTTACAAATGAAACATTATCGAGTTACACAATCATTGTACTCTACATGTTTCTATATATATTTGTACAAAATTGATATTTTATTATAAATACTAAAATCACTCTAAGTCTTAACAGTCGAAGATTTGTAAAAAAACAATGTTCTTAATATGAAAGAATTAGTGCTTTCTGATATTATTAACACCATTTTCTACCAAAGTTCTAGTTTTTAAAATCATATTCTCAATTATATTAATTAGTATAAAAATTTTATAATCTGTCATTAATACTAAAACAAATATTACTTTATTAGTATAATATTGGTATTATATTAATATTTTATTATTATTTCACATTATTTTATTGGTAAAAAGTTTTCAATCGAACATAATTCGAAGGCATTTAAAAACATTGAAGCCTTCGAACTGTAAACTATAATGGTAAAATAAATTCAATTTGTGAACAGAAAGAATTTCAATGATTTTGAGTATTTTCGAATACTCAAGTTTAATAGCAACCTCTATCAGAGAAAATTCAAAATGCAAAACTAAACTTAGATGCGTTCAATTTTTGTAATTTCTCATAATTTGTTAGCTTTAAGTAATACCACTTAAATATTAAGTCAAAGAAACAAAATGTGAAAAAGAAAACTCACGAGAAATTTCATTTTAAACGATCAGGTAGTTAACACCAGAGACAAATCCAATGGAACGAAACTGTGTTTCCAAATGTGATACCTGTGTAACGTGAATGTGCTTTTATACGAAACTCTGGACACTACTTTCCCCGTATATTCGAAAAAGAAGAGGCTACAGTTTGAAGATAAACAAGGAGAAAGATTAAATAAGAAAAAGAAAGAGACAGAGAACTCTGACAAGGACCTTCCTTCAAGAAGGAAAGAGTCTGCGAAATTTATTCGTAGATTTGACATTTCCACGTTGCCTAAATCGATCGCTTGTGTAATTATGTATATTATTGTATCTTTCGACTATTTATCGTTTATAGCGTAATAAGATCGTATGTAAAATAAGTTCCTCCAATCCTTTAATTTCATTGTTTTGTCTAACTTTTGTACAATGAAAATTATTTATTATGCAAAGCTGATAATATATTTATTAATTTTATATATATAGAATAATTATATATATAATTATATGGTATATTTTATATATATATATGATTTATTAATAAATATATAAATGTATATATTATTAATATTAACATTATATAAATTAACATTAATATGGTATTTATTAATAAGTCATGATATATTCACTAGTCATATCACAATTAAATATTAAATATTACAACTCATTATTAAGATTTAATAGTAAAACATACATATGTATACACACATGATTATATGTGAACGAAGCGATAAGATTAAATTATAATACAAGATTTGATTATAAAGCATCAAAATGTTTAAAATTTTTATTACTATACCAGAAACTTCACTAGTTATTTAATTTCAATAATCGCCAAAATATCAGATGTCATGATTGGAAATGTTACACAATAACCTTCTCATTCATGAATCTTCTTTCATCATAAATGACTATATATAACAAAAATAGCTTTAAACTTATGGCTTTAAATCATATAAAAAATAGATGTGTATATATATATTTAAATTACAAAATTATATAATCAAATATATTCTATATATTCTATTTATAAAATTATATATTCAATATATATACATATATTTTATTTCTAATGGAAATTAAGCAAGATCATTAAATGTTAATACTTAAATGATATCGTGGAGCCATAGATGAATAATTTGTATTATGTCACGAAAATTTAAGTTGTTTAATTTTATTTTGTATTTTATATTTTTTCCAATAGAAATTTGTAATGAAATTCAAATCAAAAGTTCCAAAATTAAATAATATAAAACAAATTTTTATGGTTCTAAATAAAAAATTTTGTGGTTCAGTTCAATTTTATTGTACATTATGTACTTGATATATTATGCGAATTATTTGATATGAAATAGTTCAACTGATTGTCAGTGAATGATTTTTGATAATACAATGACGAAAAAAATCAAAAATCAAGTTAATTTCACTGTAACGTAAACCAAATTGAGAATTCTTATAACTTTGTCATATAATTTGCTAAAAAAGTATAAATTATTCAGCGAAAAGCATTTTCTTGTAATAACAACAAATATTTAGAAAATTTAATTAAGAGAAATTTTATATTTCTCTTGCACACATCATATATATATGAAATAATTTCATGAAATGTGTCCAATGAAAAAATGTTAAAGTTTATTGGTCGAAATATCCCATTACTTATATATGCATACAAAAAAATGTCAAGGTGGTTGGCCAATATTTAACTAGTTAAATTTGGAATCTGAAATTAAAATTCAATACGGCCATCAAATAATTTAAGATGTGATTCAAGAAATAATTCAATTATATTTATATATAATTATATTTGTACCAGGAATTTGTTTATTCATTATTATTATTTTCTACTTAATGATTTCTTATTTTCTAATTTTTAATATTTTTCACACACATTGACTAAACAAATCTAAATCTAAACATTATCAGTATAGAAATAAATTTATTGTAGGATTATTAAATACACCTCAAAATAGAAATTATAGATTTACCTTGTACTTGTGGAATGTTTTGAGGATGACTGTTGAATAAGGGAAATTAGTAAGTTTTATTTCATAGAAAATGATTCTACGTGTAAAAATGTGTCAAAAAGAAAGAATAAAATTTTTCCCTGGAAACCTTCGTTTTCGAAAAAATCGAGTTTGAAAATTCATTCAACTACACTTGAATTTGGCTAGTTCTATATTGAACAGACGCGAATAATCGACAGAAGAATATTCTATGTGTAAAACTAAGTAAAAAACGTAAAATAAAATTTTTTCGTTTAAGGAATCTTTTTGAATCCGTTTTGTTAAAAATTGCTTTAAACGTGAATTTGATAAATTTTCAAACTCGATTTTCTCGAGAACGAAGCATCTTACAGAAAAATTTTATTCTTCGCTTTTTTACTTATTTTCGCACGTAGAACAATCTAATTAGTTAATTATTCACATGTCAAATTTAGGATTAATTAAATTCAAGTATAATCGATAAATTTTCAAAATATAATTTTTTCTCAAAAGTGAAGACTTTAATGAAAAAAATTGTATTCTTTCGACTCATTTTTACACATAGAATCACAAGTTGCAGGTCACCCTGTATATTTGCGAGAAATCTACTGGTCTCTATATAAATTTCAACATGATGAAAGTATGATAGGTTAATTTTCTCGCACGATACGAAGAAAGGATATGATAATAAAATAGCGTTGAAATATATGGGCAAAAGTATTGTCAGTGAAGGCCGTTTATTTCTCTTCTAGCCCATTTTGTTCCTCCTCTTGCTATAGAAAGAAAGAAAGGTGGAGATTAGACAAGGAAAACGAGGAAGGTTTATAGCTGTGCCAACAAGGACAAATGTTGCCTAAAAAGATAGACGAAGGAGAAAACTTTTTTAAAACATCAAATAGCGAGAGAGAGAGAGAGAGAGAGAGAGAGAGAGCCTTCATTTCCATAGAAAGAAAAAATACAGAACACCAATGCACACACCATCATGTCTGTAACGAAAATCTGTTAAGCTGCATACGCCACTCTTATCAATGGACTGCGGATTTTTGTGCAAGTTCATACTTTGATTAATCTGACTGATAGACTGCTTTATTTACTAAGTTTTATAGAAAGTATTTTATAAAAGTATTTGATAGAAAGTATTACTATTTTGAAAATTTTATATATATATATTTTCTATTACGCGCATTCTGTGCAATTTTGCACTATAGAATTTTTCAAATACGTAAAAATTAGGTAAATATGGAAATTATTTGTTCAAGCATAGCGAAGAAATAAACTTGAATTTTAAATGGAAAACTCCACTCGATTTAAGAAAGTAATTAATACACAAAAGATTTTTATGCAATTATAAATAATTAAAAAATGTAAAAATATATATACATAATATGCAAAATGCAACTTGCGATTTGTCTGTAAAAATGAGTCGAAATGAAAAAATACAATTTTTTCATTAAAGTCTTCACTTTTGAGAAAATCGTGTTTGAAAATTTATCGACTATACTTGGATTTAGTTAATAATTAAAATAGATAAAACAAATTTTTTTAAATTTCATTTCTTCAGCTGTATTCATAAAAATTCAAAAATGAATAAAAATCCCCAGTCTAACATTGTAATTAATTATTTATCATTACTAGACTGCGAATTTTCATGCAAATTTATATTTCTGAAAATATAATTTAAAAATGAGGGCTTCGTAAGAAAATTATGTTTTACGTAAATAATATTATAGAAAGTACTATACTTTGATTACGTTATAGATTTTTTTCACCTAACAATGCATTCTATACGATTTCATACATTTAAATTAATTTAAAAATCTGCAATTTTGTTATTACTATCAAATTTGCAGAACAGGATATTTTTTAATGTTGATTTTAAGAAGACAATTATATTATTAGTATCACGTTTTAATATTAAAATTTTAAAATCAATGCAAATAATACAGTATTTTTCCTTTTCATAGAAAATGCAATTGTGAATATATTAAAAAGCTATGTGACTCGAATTAAATGAAGTTGATCGTCATATACAAATTAACAAATTCAATGTTCTTTATATAATAAAAGATTTCGTTTCAACGATTATTTAAAAGACTATTTAATAATTCTGTAAATGTTTGCATGGATTGATTTTAAATTGTCTTGTACACTTATTTTAAAAATTATTAATTAAATTCTATTTATGAATGTACATCAAATTATTTTTTCAATTTTTAAAATTTCTACTTGAATAATAACATTGAATTATGTGAATTCTGTAATAATTGTTTGTTTTTAATATTTCGTAAATGAAATTTAAAGAATTGAGTTTCCTGATATTGTACGATCGCAAAACTATTTGCCCCGTATTTGCATAATTCCAGCTTTTTTACATAATATATTCAATGACCTTACATTGAACAGTTTTTGAAAGCTGTTGTAATAAATACATTTGCTTCAAAATATTGTTTTTTAAATCAATCACTGTAGATTTATTTTTCAATGGAAATAATATTTCACGAGGATTTTAGAAGATATTGATAAAAATAAAAGGAAATATCTAGCTGAACTAGATTTTGTACTTTTTAAAAATATTACGCATTTACGTGTGCAAATGATTTCATTGAATTTCAGGCGATTTATAATATTTTATTATTGAAAAAAAAATGAAATGTCCAAAAGGACAAAATTTTATTTTAATGCAACTTCATTTTATAAGTTCCAAGATTTTATAAACGCTTAATTATTTATGGTAAATGTAACAAGAAAGTTATAAGAAAATGTGGACAAATTGAAACTTTCTTACTTCAAATGATTATAATTTTAAAATGAATGCATAAAATTTAAAAATTCAAACTATTTTATAAATGGATTGGATACAGTGTAAAAAAATATTGTTAAAATTGTTAAGTGATAATAAATAAAATGTGATATATTAAAAGATAAGATATTACAAACATTCTACGAAGATAAGAAATTACAAATATTCTATGAAACATATTTATTATCATGCTATAACTTATTTTTAAAGCAAAATGAAATATTGTTTCAAATAAAAGTTGACAATTATATTTAGAATTTTATAAAATATTTCTTTCTTCCACTGACTGCAGTATAGTTGCTCTAATATATTAAAAACTATTTTCTCTTCATTAGAAATTTATGTTCATTCGTTGATTATTTGGCCAATTTTTTACTTAATCTTATGCCAGACATTATTAGAATTGTGATTTATTGTTATTAAAATGAAGATATGATCTTATTAATAGTATTCAGAGGATTAAATAATGATTTATCAATGCTGATTTTAACAGACATGTAACTTAATTACTCATCTACCAAATCACTCAATAAATGTTTCCCGGCTGCAATGATTTTTAGAAGTTAATAATCTCGAAAATAGTTTCCACTTCTATTGCCTAATTCAATATAATCGCGAGTATATGTAATATTTTACAAAGAAATGTTGATCTTGTTTATTTATTTATCAATTTTCAAGATTTTAAATTTCTTTTTTTGAAGGAAAAATCTGAAAAATATTGTACATAGTATAAAATTTTAAAATTAAAATAGTATTTTTACAGATAATGATATATACAAAAATGATATCTTTTGAGATAATAATAAAAAAATATTTATAATAATTCTATCACAAAGAGAACAGACATATAAAGCTTTAAACATTCTTCTATCGCTTATTTATTATTAATGCATTACAGATTCAGTTAATATTTAAAATAAAGTACAGTATAGTATATTACTGTATAAAATCATAATTACATTATAATTTCTTAAACATATACCAATTTATATGATATGAAATTACATTAATATTTTCTAGTTTAATTACATTAGTATCTTTTATTTATTAATATTTTTTAGCTTTGCAGTAAATATATGGGTATCAGATTTTGTAATTTATTATTTAAAATGATTTGCAATGCCATCTAATAGTAATGCATATATTTTCTAGTCAATACTCATAGGATAATAGAAATACTATAAATCCACAGGTCTATATACATATTAATTATAAAAATAACAAAATATAACGAAATAAATACAGGATATCTAAAATCAACATCTCTGTATTTTGAAATCTACAATACGTCTTTTTTCATCAGCAATGGGTTCTCGAATGACGTTTTTTCTCTTCTTCCTACAGATTTCTTTTCTCACAGATGAGATATATAATAACGTTTTACTTGATATTGAAATATTGAAAAAAGTAAACGAAAGTTTACTTCATAACTTCACTTTAATAATAAACTATCATAATGTAACAATAGGGAACGAAGTCCCAATAAAATTGTTGACTTTCGTGCACGTTTGTTTTTACTTCAAACCATGAACGAGGTACATGAATAGACATCTTACGGAGCTTCATGGCTCGTGACCTGAAATACCGACATAGTAAAAAATCCTTAGTTTTTTAGCATGCTCTACGTTTAAACAACACTGAGTTGGGAAATTAGTGAATGTGCCAGAAATATGATTTCTGAGACCCCCATTATAGTGTGGTCAAACTTTCAAACCAAAATCTAAAGTTAGTAACTAATCAATAATCATTATACTGTATATCAGAAAGAGATGATGGCATAGCCTACTTCTTTCGATTTTGAGGCATCTATATAGATTTTGTGGTAGTGGTTGAATTTTTAATTGAGCTCTGTGAATTTGATTTTGTGCTCATGGTTCAATTTGTTCTTTTTGGGGATATCCACTAGGTCTAGGTTGATTTCAGGGGTTTTTAAGGCCCAAGGTGCTATTGTTTCCTGTTTGTGTTTTATGGTGGAAGTTTTAAAAATAAGATTGAGAAATTTGTTGATTTTAATATAAAGTGGGAATGGGAAAGAGATTTTAATGATATAGATCTTTGAATCTGCTGTTGAATATGTACCTGAAAGTGAGATTGTTGGGAGTTGAGGACATTTTTGTTATATATTTTGTTGGGCATATTTTTTGTTATATGCTCGTTGGGCATATTTCTCGCACCACATTCGTATTTCACCTCTTTCACGCATTTTATGGAGGTTTACTCCTTTAAATAAATATATCACGAGATTTAACAAGAAACTATAACAATAACTATTTATTAATATCAACAAGTTTAACAAGATTTTATAATGACCGTTTGCTTTGATTGGTTATTAACAACTGAGAATATAAAATATTTTCTTTCTTCATTTTAAATCAGCCTTTCTGCTTTTTTAAATATGCGCGCAGCTATAATTTCTTCAAGCTACAGGCCATCTGTTATAATTAAACGCAACTAAAATATAATAATATTTATAAGCTACAGGTTATAATAACTACGATACTACATATACTGTTCACAAAAATTAAGGGATATTTCAAAATGCATATGAAAAATGAATATGAATATGAAAAAAAATCAAATGCTTCTTTTTTTTATTGCTTCATATTCATTTTGAAATATTTCCTAATTTTTGTGAGCAGTGTATATGCCTATATATGCATTAAGAAATAAGTCAAATATGCTATTGTTCATTGAATACTGTTTTTTGTTTCGCTTCTTGATATTTTCCACAGGAAACTGTTCTTCTCGAAACTTTTATTTTTTCCTTCTACTGTTTTACACAATACACGTTCTGAAGTCGACGTTTCTTCTTGTTCTCTAGCTCACTTTTCACGCTTTTATTTAAGCATAGAATCCCTGAAGAACGTTTCATGAATTAGATGAACCAATGGAAAGGATGCAATTTATACATCCAGATAAGAGAAGAAAAACGATGCAGTGAAGACTATTAAGAAGAAATAAATACGAAGGGATAAAAGATTCTAAAAATATTGGTGCATAGACTGGAGACGAAATCACATCTTAAAAACTAAATATTAGTAAATTATTAAATATCAAATTATATTATTACATTAGTAAATTATTAAATATCAAATTATATTATTACATCAGTAAATTATTAAATATCAAATTATATTATTACATTAATAAATTATTAAATATTAAATTATATTATTACATTAGTAAATTATTGAATTTAAAGTTTCATTATAGGAAACATTGCCCAAAAAAACTGAATCTATCAATATTTTTGTATTCAGATATATAATAAAAACATTAACACGTTGATTGCTACGTTGATCATTTGTGACCGGAGATTTCTTTCTCGATTAGATGGTCATTCAAACATTTAAAATATCATCAACTAAAATACTTCGAAGTATAGCTATTACTAGATAAAAAATTTTGAATTATAGATAACTAGACAATATTACGAAATAAAAGGTGCGCTGCTCAACAATTAAATATTTTAATTAAAAAATTCTATTTTATTACAAAAATTATGTACAGTACATTGTATTAAAACGTCTTAAGCATAAATGAAATTGACCATCCGCAATTATCCATAGTCTTTTTGTTCAATTTTTAACATTTTCCAAAACATTTTTTTCCAAAATATTTGGAAAAATTTTCACACCAGATATGCTGGCCGTCCCTTTTTTTATTGCAAATTTCTAATCTTCTTCGGACAAAAAAAAAAAAAAAAAAAGAAGTAAATTGGATCCGGAAAGAATTCGTATATTGGTGTTCTTGAACAAGAATCTGGATTAATTTTGTTATCTCATCGTTTGTATTATGTTCAACTGAGACCAATAAAAATTTATATAAAAGTGTTAACTACAGTTTTTAAAACAAGGAATGCAAAATGAGAAGAAATAAAATCACAAGAAATAAAATCAACGCTTCAAATTTCGAATTTTCGAAAGTTTCGAGATTTTACGAAATCTCGGGCTCGAGTTCAGAGAATTTAAAAATTCGTTTCGAACCCATCCCCCGGTTCGAAGCATCGTGTTTCACTTTACACCGCAGGAAGATAACAACCGTCACAAAATTTACACGTTCACCTAACTCCTTGCATAAGTTATGTCTTCAGATAGCAGCTAAATTTATGCCAGGCTATTCCAAATTCCTGTCAGCGACTGGGGCTTCGTCCGAATTCGTTGCACTGGTTTTTTTCGCTTCCGGACTTGTTTTCTTTTTTTTAAATCTCGTTGCGTTTGCATGTAATTGTCCCATGATTAGATGCAATGGAACTGGGTCAGAAAAGGGGAAGGCTCTTTTATATAAGGCTAAGAAATATTCAAGTGTATACGTTGTTCCCTGAAAGGTGCTGCAAGGAAACGTTTCTCCCATTGCCTCTCAACATTTTTCAAAGGACACTGCTGTGTTTTTAGAGTTTTTACCTTTTTCTTTTCACTTTACTTTCAAGAGTTTTATCTTTTCCCTTCTTTTAACTTTCTTCGTATATATACACGATGCACGCCCTGGAATCGAGGTTTATACTCGCTCTCTGGCTTTTTTCCCGCATTTCGGTTCGCGCATGGGAAATCCGGCCATATCCGAGCTCCGGAGGACGTTCCGAGAATGAAATAGAGTTAGACGAACCAACGGAAAGGATAGATATTATATTTCCAGGTAAGAGAGGATGAACGACATAGTGAAAACTATCACGGAAAAATAAATACGAAGGAATGAAAGATTCCAACAAGACTGGAGATAAAATAGCATCATAAAAACTAAATATTAGTAAATTATTAAATATGAAATTATATTATTACATTAGTAAATTATCAAATGTCAAATTATATTATTACATTAGTAAATTATTAAATATCAAATTATATTATTAAATTATTAAATGTTAAATTATATTATTATATTAGTAAATTATTAAATGTCAAATTATATTATTACATTAGTAAATTATTAAATATCAAATCATATTATTAGATATTAGTAAATTATTAAATATCAAATTATATTATTAAAAATTAGTAAATTATTAAATGTTAAATTATATTATTACATTAGTAAATTATTAAATATCAAATTATATTATTACATTAGTAAATTATTAAATATGAAATTATATTATTACATTAGTAAATTATTAAATATGAAATTATATTATTACATTATTAAATTATTAAATACCAAATTATATTATTTACATTAGTAAATTATTAAATATCAAATTATATTATTTACATTAGTAAATTATTAAATATTAAATTATATTATTACATTAATAGATTATTGAATTTAAAGTTTCATTGTGGGAATATGAATACGAAATAAATACGAAGCTATAAAAGCGAAAGACACATTAAAGACATCGTAAAAGCGAAATATTATATATTATATTGCAGTAAATAATATTACAATAATATTATAAATTATATTATATATTATTAGTTAATTATTAAGCTTGAAAAATTTTACTGCGAGAAACATTGAGCAAAACTCAAATCAGTGAATATATATGTATTTTTGTTGATTGGCAACATATTTGCAAAATTAAAAAATTGTTTGGTTTAATTTTAATACTCAGTAACGTCGTTACACGTTTTGATAATTCTATTTTGTATTGTTTAATTTTTGATTTACTATCAGATCGCTCGTTTATTGCAATAATGACGTAATCCAAAAATCACGATGAGTTTAAATGTTCTTTCTGTTATGCTTTCTTTGTTACACCATAATATCAAAATGATAATAATATTTCGAATATACATATATGTTGCAATAATAACAGCTCAAAATTTTCAATTTTTGAATTACAAAGAAATATAGTTGTTAATTATACTTTTATATACTATTTGTTCTACCGGTAAAAAGTACAATAATTCCAAAATTTCAAATTTTGAGTTATGTCACTATTGATAAACAAATGAATGATATTTCGTTGTTATTAAAATACTAGAGATAAGTTATCTAAAAGATGTCGAAACTTTAAAATCCTTCGAAACGCAAGAAAGTTTCGAGTTGTCGAAATTCAAAGCTTTATATTTTTTTTTTTTTTATGATTCGAAACTCAGTAATAACAAAAAAAAGTATAAAATCAATGAATTATTTATGAAAAATTATTTACCGTGTGAATAAAAGTAAAGCGAGATGTTCTGTAAATAGGTTTTGTTTTTAATATAAGCAGACATACGATCAATCATAATTCTGGAACGATAATGTAAAACGTAAAACATCAAACTCTTACAAAGAAATTACCAAAAAGAAAGATATTTCATTACACCATCATCAACGATATAATTTGACTTCCGGTACACGACACTACAGTCGATGAAAAAAGATATAGATTAGATCAGATATTAACGTTCTTAAACAAGAATCTGAATTAGATACTTTTGTATCTATATTTTTATTTAACTTCGACCAATTTATAAAAAATTTATATAAAAATGCTAACTCTAATTTGTGAAAGAAAAAGTTCTTGAAATAAAATCAACACTTCGAGTTTCGAGTGCTTCGAGGTTTAAAGGTTTCGAGAGTTTCGAAACTTCACAAAGTCTCGGATTCGAGAATTTAAAAATCAGTTTCGAGCTCTACTCTAAAAAATATTAAATAACATATTTGTAACGATCATTAGTTCCCAGATTTTGCATCGGCGTCGATGATTATAATTCAATTTCAATAATTTCTCTTTTATAAGTAAACGGAATTCTGATCAATGGGAATTAATTGTTCATTATGTTAGTAGAATAGTAGAAAAAGATTTATACAAAACTTGTTTAGTAGTTTAGTCATGCTTTTCACTATATTTATTGCTTTCCGACAGGAACAAAGTGGTGCGGAAGTGGTAATATAGCGAGCAATCCGGATGATTTAGGAAAATATTCCGAAACCGACGCGTGCTGCCGAAATCACGATATGTGTCCTGACGTAATCGAGGCTCATGGAACGAAACACGGCTTAACTAACCCTTCCTTTTACACCAGGTTTCTCTTCAACTTTGTTTTTCTGTTTACTTTCACCTAGAATTTCATTACTAGAGGATTTACTGTAGGATTTTTGTGCATTTGCAGGAAATTTTAAAGTACGAAAGTACGAAGTTATACAGAATATAAATACCCAAAGTACACAAATATACAAATATCTAAAGTATAATATATTTATTTTTATAATATTTTATACTTATTATTCTTATTATATTTATTATACAATACTTATTTACTTATATAATACTATTATACACTTATATAATATTATTGTATAATACTTATTATATTTATTATATATTCCATATATATTCTTATTATACTTGTTATACTTATTATGTAACATTTATTTTTATAATATTTGATACATAAAATAATTTTCCATTTAACTTTTATATTTTTTAGAGCATTAGTTTAGAAGATATTTTAAATTCTTTACAGTTTGTTGTTTAAAAAATAAGGACTACATAAGCGGACATATTATTTCTAGTCCACAAAATTTAAAAAAAATCATATGTATATTTCATACATACATATATATATATAATATATGTATATTATATGTGTACATATATATATATATATATATATATATATATATATATATATATATATATTATATATTGTACAACATGTACAGTACTTATAATTTTGTATATATATGCATATAATAATACACATACAATTATATATACATATAAATGTGTATGTGTATACGTGTGTTATACTATTATAAATATTTAAACACATTTAAACGATTGGCACTTCGCAGATTAAACTGCTCCTGCGATGATGAGTTCCACCGATGTCTTAAAAATTCAAAAGATGGTGTCGGCGGAAAAGTAGGAACTGTATATTTTACCTTATTAGGAACGCAATGCTTCCGAGAGGATTATCCCGTTGTTGGTTGCAAATCCAGCACCTTGTAAGTACGATTAACACGTTGTTCAACACAACCTATTTCGCGATGCATTCATCGAATTTTACCGCAAAATCGCTCGATCTAAAGTTTGAAGAAAATTTTTACCATTTACAGAACTGGCCATTGTTTGAAGTACGAGTTTGACACAACAAAACCAAAGAAGTATCAATGGTTTGACGTGCCTTCTTACTAGTCAACTTTCAACGAACCTCGAATATTAACATACTTTCGTTACATAATATACGTAAACACGAATTATTAACATGTTAATAAAATAACAGCAAACATCTGATGATGTTTCTAAGATCCATGTTATTTCCAGAACGCCGCATACTGTTCTATCTTCTGATTAGATGACTTTATTTACGCTAATTTAATTATACTATGCATGCGTCTCGAACAGCGAAAAGAATCACGTAGCACAGGTTTTCGAAAATTTCTATATAATACTTAGTGCACTATAATACATTCAGGTAAATTGTCATCGAAACAAAGTTTTTAAAAGCATACTCTTCGCGTGTGTACAAAAAGTAATTTTTTAACATCAGATTCCGGTTGATATTTTTGAAGGAAAAACAGTTGAGATATTCTTGCACTCATATTTTAGCCGTTTAGATCGATTGTACATATATACACTGCCGCTCAAAAGTATGTAGACACCTCCTTAACTCTTGCGTCTATCTAAAAAACATTATGAAATCTTTAATGAACTTTATTAAATTTCATGTATGCTAGTTCGTACAGTATTAGAGAACGCATTTAACCAATAATTCATCAAATATTTTACCAACAATAATAAAAAACAATTATATCTTCTTCTCATCGGTATATTCTCTTCTTTTCATCAGCTGTGTGCTTTTGTGTATCGTGACATTCTGGCTGTTAGTTTTTTCATTACTTCATTGTCAATTAGGTTCCACTCCGAAGACTTCCCATAAATGTTTTTTTGACTTTGGACTTATTCTGTGCCCTGAAGGAATGACGTTCTCTCGTAAAATGTTCAAATAAGCCTCTCCTTTTTAAATATCATTTTTATAATAAATAAAATCTCTCGTCATATTATTGCCGAAACCATCCCATACTATTACTGAATGTCATCCATGTTTGAAAGTGAGCATCACACAATTTTTATTGAATCTTTCGTTCACTTTGCGGCGAACTAAAATCCGGCGTTTGAAACCAAACAATTCGAATTTATATTCATCCGTCCACAACACATTTTTCTAGAAAGATATTTATCCTAATACTTCCGATAGAATGAAATGCAACGCTTCAAGTTTTTAATAAAAGAGTTTCAGCTATCGCTTTGCTGACTGGTATATATTATAAATACGAAAAGTATACAGCACACGGTTCGATTCTCTAAAACGTAAATGATTTATTTGATTAATTAAAAGCAGCAGGTAATCCCAATCTCATAAATTTTTAAATTTTAATGATATTCGACAAAATTTAATAGATTATGCAACTAATATGAAAAATTGGTTATGTTATTTCGGCTAATAATTTAAAAACACCTCTATGTTCTTTGGGAAATTACGGGAATCTGTACAGTTGTGAGATGATATGAATAAAGAAGGTTTCAAATGACCCATTAGAAAATTTTTTCTCTGTTCTCCGCGTGCACGGTGGTAGTTACAACCGAAATTCCTCCTGCAAGAGCGGTACGATTAGCAATTGGAAAAAAATACCATAAATACCATAAATACCATAAATTTAAAAAAAGTTTACATTATTGAAATTGTATGTCAGGCAATGACGTACCGTTGTTGTTTCGAAGGATATTTCACCAGAAGTATCAGCGTTAAATGCTTCATTGGTTTGCAGTAAAGAGAACATGGATGATGACAGTTTTGTTGACGATATTGAAATGGATAATATCGAGGAACTGTCAACATCGACATGTTCATTAGAATACTTTGTAAGATACATTGCTAAGAAATGTATTGATAAATCACAATGTTAGATATTAGGATATATTTTTTCTATTTACTACGATATTTTTTAGAGCTTATATTAATCCTGAAGGTAGTGTTGATTTTGGGAATTTACATACTCCAAGTCAGCAATTTTCACATATTTTTAAAATTATTAATTCTGCTTTCGATAAATGTTATCCGCCATTACGTAGCGAAGCATTTATATTGGATAAATTATTTTCGATAATTTTGTGTCGAAGAAAAATATCCAAATTAGTTTATTTAAGATGAATGCGCTGCACATCATAAAGATTTAATTTATTTCACTTTAACTGTGAAAATATTTACATAAAGATAGAGTATGGCTCGGAGAAAAATTTAGACTAGATTCAGGAGAATTACGCAAGAGCTTAAAAAACATTTTATTGTTACATTTGAATATATATTTTTTTAGCAATGATTTTGCAATATATTGTAAATAATATTGTATAATAAACATTTATGTATATATTAAATATATTCTAACACGATTTGGGGTACAGTCAATGTTCATTTATTTTTTCTAAAATATGTTATAATTTATGGAAGAGCTCAATTATGCTGATGTATTGTTTTGGTAAACATTTGTACTGGCATTGGTAAACATTTAATGTACTTCGGGATAGATAAGTACAAGTTGTAAATAATGGTAGTAAAAAATATTTCTGATAATGTTAAATGTTTTTTCTTACGTTGTTTTAAAACTCTGAGAAATCGCAGTATTTATGATCTAATATTTTTTAATTAGTATTTATACATAGAAAAATCATGCAGCCAGTTGTACCACGATTTACAGATTAGAATAAATTACTATTTATAGATTAGAATAAAAACTATTTACACTTATAAACATATTTAATGCGAATCATTATTTTTAGCAGTAGTATTTAAAATGAAAAAAATACATTAAAATATTTTCAACACTCTTCAAATAAAATACTATTTTAAAGACTTACTGTACCAAATAAAATATTTTATTTTCAAGATTAACCAAGAGTTAACGTGTGCCTTAAAATAAATAAAATGATCTACTATGTATTTGCTCTTCAAAATAGCATTTTATCCAACTCTGATTTTCTCTTTCTATTTTTCTTTCGCAGTTATAACATAAAACCAATGTTTATTGATTATTTGAGTTGTATTCTTTCACTTGTCCACTGGAGATTTATCTTTCAAAATTTTAAGTAAAACGTAGTAAGGAATAAGGAAACGTAGCGTTATTAAACGCTATACCGTATTACGCATTTACAATCCTTTACCTTACAGATACACACGTTTACGACTTATCTAAATAACCTAACATCGTATTCTTTCTTTCATTTTTTTTCATGTGTGCTTTGTTTTTGCATCATTGCTCTGCATCTATGTCTGATAGATATGTTAAAGGCGGTGAAAATTAAAAAGGCCCGAATAAATCTCGCATTCGACGCGGTGTATCATAGAAAAAAGAATATCTCGCATATTTCAAAGTGCAAGCAAATGATGCAAAAACCTGTGATAAGTGCGTCCGCATCGATTAGAATGCGTCTCAAAGAAAATGTCGTTAATTCGTTTGATAAATTAATTTAATTTCAATTATTTGTAAAATCGAGTATGATATAATCCAACTATCGTAATGCCTTTTGGTATGTTTGGTATGTTTTATCTTACTTAATATCAGTACGTTTGCTTGAGGAATCGAAATAAGCGCCACTTGTATCATAGAAATGTACTCACAACCCTCGCGAACCGTGAACAATCCACAATCATAAAGTTGTAGTAAAACAACGTTGCGTTTTCTTCTATAATAACGTCAGAAATTTCCTAACGTAATTAAATAAAGTAATTGCTGCTCAGTACTAGTAGCCTAATCGTTTTTTTTTTTTTTTTTTTAAATAATCTCTTACTACCACAACGAAAATTCTTCAACAGATCTTGCAGCACGTGGACGAATACCTTCTTCACTCTCGCGTATATATCAATAATTATTTTTAGTATATTACCCATTGTACCAGATGTTGATGTTGTGAAAGGCATATTCCTGAAGAGCAAACGATGATCGTGTCTTAACAACTACTCAAGAGGTAGTGATTAAAAGAACACGAATTGCAATTAATTGCAATCGTGTACACAGTAACACTTTAGTTATAGTGATGAGTCCATAACACTGCCATCCATACCACAGTCTTAGCATGTGTTATCCTACATGCACATGCTAACATCTTTCAGTTCTGGAATTGTACTTCATAGGTGTGCTCGTGGTAAACTATCAAATCATGTTGGTTCTTGCGCGAGACGGCCAATAGCTAGTCTGATTTGATTAGTTAACACGAGAACACTCTAGCTCAGACTGCGAATTGAGCCCAGGAATTGAGCACCCCAGATCATCACTTTAACAACTATAATACAAACAATGAAACATATGATCTTTGCACCCGACTGTGATGTGTTTTGCAGAACACCCTTGTACATAGACTTTGTTGTTGAAAACTGTTGACAACCATCCGTGAGCAGTGATGTTAAATAATATACCAAAAAAAGGCTCGACCTTAGATATTGAATTAGAACTGTGAGTGTAGGAATATTAGTATATTGCTCATCATACCAGGTGTTGATGATGTGAAAGGTTAGAACGGCATATTCCTGAAGACCAAACGATGATCGTGTCTTAACAACTACTCAAGAGGTAGTGATCAAAAGAACACGAATTGCAATTAATTGCAATCGTGTACACAGTAACACTTTAGTTATAGTGATGAGTCCATAACACAGTGCCATCCATACCACAGTCTTAGCATGTGTCATTCTACAGCACATGCTAACGTCTTTCAGTTGTGGAACTGTCCTTCATAGGTGTGACCGTGGTAAATGATCAAATTCTGTGTGAAGACGACTCTGTGAAACAGACTCCTTATCTCTCTTACTACTAATTCAAACCCAAACTAATGAATCACCTACCCCACCTTTACGCGAATTTGTCACGTACATCATACCCGAACAATCTGTATAAATAACAGACACTCGATAAAGCAGTCTAACTTTTACCAACACATAATACAGATCTCATTATTCTCCCAGTCACGAATCGACGGCTATTACGGTAGAATTCTCTTAGATAGATTCAGTCGTTCTTATTGGGAATATTTCAATTAATAACTTGTTCTCTTTATTCGTTGTGAATGAGGGAAAGTGGTTATTAATTATCATTAAGTGGATAAAATTGTCTCATCACATATTTTGTGAAGTGAATAGATTTGTCCCGTGACATTTTTGGCGATCCTGCCAGGATCCACTAGCGCAACATCAAAGGAAACACCTACAGGATTTCAGCACCTGGGACCACGAGAGCCAATCCTATTGATTCACCACCTGGATCCACGAACCATTCAAGTCTTTACTAAGGTAAAAATCTTTGTAAAAATATGACTACGGCTAAGAACAACGAACCCGAACTCATGCGTAATATACTAAATAACATGGAAGTAATTACTACGCAACTAAGAAGACAGGAAGAAATTCAAAAAACTCCGGGAGACGCCCTTCGGAAACTACTGCATTCCATTAAAATAATGGAGGACAGGCAAAAGAGCTCAAGAACTTAGGGACACAACTGGGTATCATCGCCATCACAGAAGACACAAGATCCCACGGCAACGGAATCAGAGGTCGAGAACACTATGGACACCGTTAGAAATGAACAACCAGGACGAAACGTTGGGACACCACGACGACCAGTGATCATTAACAATCTCAAGGTAACCGATGCGCTCCTAACAGTCGAAACTCTCTACGGAAAAGACGACATAAGAGTAGAAGAGTTTATTAAATCAGTAAAATTTGCGCGTAATCGCGTCAATGATCAGGACAGTTTACTGAAAATGATAATTGCTCAAAAAATAAGCGGGCATACCAAGAAGAGTATACGGTTTTGTATAAAAAATTTTGCAAAAATTGCCAAATCCCTGACTGATCTTATACAAAAAAATGTACCTTTCCATTGGACAGACAAACAAGAGACGGCATTCAACACCTTAAAACAGAAACTCGGCGAAACCCCGATACTCTGTTACTGTTTTGAATTACCTTTTACACTGACTACCGACGCAAGTAACAAAGGAATTGGAGCAATCTTATCCCAGAACGACCATCCCTGCTGTTTTATTTCCCAAACACTAAATGCAGCCGAGAAAAACTATACTACTACAGAAAAGGAACTAGTAGCCATCGTATGGGCAATCAAAAGACTAAGACAATACCTGTTAGGAAAACGTTTTATAATTCAAACTGATCATCAAGCACTTAAATGGTTACACAACATACGCGATCCTTCTTCTAGACTTATGAGATGGAGACTCAGACTAGAAGAATACGACTACGAAATTCAGTATAAGAAGGGTAAAGATAATGTAGTAGCAGACGCGTTATCTCGACTGCATCCACTCCGCATTATAGAAGACAAACCGGTGAAACTTAACATCAAAATCCGAAAAAAGATTCCAATGTCACCTGAACAGCTTAACGATGAATGACCTGAAATCGAAAAAATCCAATCACCTTCCGATCTCCTCTACGAACTCTCCTCTACACATGGAAAACCGATCCAACCATAGGAAGATCTCGTCAGACTTTGCCCCAATAAACCTAATTACACACAGATTACGCACCAACAGTTAGGACCGTATAACGAGAAAGAATGGCTATTACGACTAAAATCCTTACTCGAACACTTGACATCAGAAAATGATATCAGACTTGGATCAGGAGAAATTTTCTCGGCACTGCACATTGTGACAATCCAACTAATGCTCAGATTCTTAACCAATCAGATATCCTGATATTCCTGGCCACCGAACCATACACCGAAATAAGTCCCGACGAAAAGAAACAAATACTGTTTGAGATGGACGACAATGTCAATCATTTCGGAGAAAACAAGACTATCGAACGAATCAAAAATAAATATTATTGGAAAGGAATAGACAAAGACGTAGTAGACTATATAAAAACTTGTAAGACGTGCCAACAAAATAAGCTTACTAGAATGGACGACCTCGCGAATAAGCCATAATCCCGGACAACCCTACTTGACAAAATTGCACTCGACATTATTGGACTATTTCCCATCGGGAAAACCGGAAACCAATTCATCCTCTCTATCCAAGACCAGTTGACCAAGTATCTTCTACTCATACCACTAAACGATCAAAAGGCGAAAACCATTATTGATCAATCATTACATTCTCATTCTCGAAGCACATCTTAATCGATCAAGGACGAAATTTTCGTATGCAAGCTGATGGAATCGTTCGAAAAGGCATTCAAAATTAAGCATGTAAAAACTACTAGCTTCCATCCGCAAAGCAATGGCAGTCTAGAACGAACACACGGTACGGTAAAAGATCTAATAAAAACCTGCATTGATGAACGAAAAGACGAATGGAATGAATATCTCAATTTAATTTGCATGTCCTATAACACTTCGGTACACTCAGGAACACACGGGCCATACTCCCTTTGAATTAACTTTCGGACACGAAGCAAATATGCCTTCAGCTATCGCGACAACTTCCAGCTTAACCTATAAAGAGTTGTTCAAACTATGGAAAATTAGACACCAGGAATATCTTGATAAAGCAAAATTAATTATGATTAAAAATAAGGAGCGATATAAAAAAGAACAGGATAAGAAAATTATAATTAAAAGCGTATACAAAAATGGAGATTTAGTCCTATTACATAATGATCATAAGAGTCATAAACTTAGCAAAGAATGGTTAGGCCCCTACAAAATGCTAAAAATAAAAACACTCAACTACCTTTTAGAAATCAACTCCAAGAAAACGCTATTAGTACACGGTAACTGAATCAAATCATATTATTCCAGGGATTAGTGACAACGAGTCTCTGTTTGAAGATACAGCCCATAAATGATACGAGGATACTGAAAGAAATCATAGGGACTAGCTACATACATCACAACACAGTAAAAATAAATGTAATTTTTAAGATGGACGAATTAAAAGAAAACGCACAATTAATACATAGAATAGCTATACCCATGCACGAACACTGCTCAAAAACCAGATGTCAAAACCCCATAATACAAAGCAAAATAAGACAAGTAGGGAATTCAATATAAAAACTTAAGACTATACTACACCAACGAACAAAACGAGGACTGATAAACGCAATCGGTTCAATATCCGAAACTTTAGTCGGGACACTAGACAACGACGACTTAAACCTAATTAATAAAAATATAGACAAACTTTTCGATGACCAAAATAAAATTAGCAGTATATAATGCAAAACCAGACCATCATGCTAAAACAAATATTCGCGGACGACCACTTTGGAAGTCTCACAACCAAGTTAACGGAGCAATCTACCAGACTACAAGAAACACAAAACTCTCTCGCGTTAAATGCTATTTACTCTAGAAGTACTCTATTCAGAATTCACGAGCAAAATCAATGAATTTTATAACATAATATTAGGGAAAAATGGAATAATAGACACAACGCTCATTGACATAAACCGGTTCATATAAGCATACAAAGAAATAACCAAAGCTAAATCTGTCACAATTCCTGCACAAAAAGAAAATTTTCAAACTATTATAGACATTAGTAAATTAATAGCAATAGTAGTCAACAATACTATTATCTATAGAATTGAAATACCAATGTTAGAAGAACACGAATAGGCCATCCTCAAATATTATCCTATACCACATCAAGTCCAAAACGTATTTTTAGCACCCTTAATAGACCACGACATGAGATTGGAACAACCAGGATCACAGATCATTATTAACGATTATTATCTAAAACAAATATTGTAAAAACAGTCCTTTAGGATCTATTTGCGAAAGAACACAATCTACGCGACACGATTACTACAACGAATGTCAAACATTAAAAAAGAGCGACCACACTGAATGTGGCACAATAATATTCAAAATTGATACTATAACATTTGTACCCATGTATATACCAAATAGATATATCGCAATATCTCAGAGACCTTTAGAGATTCAAGCTCTTTGCAAGGAAGTAACAGAATTCACCTGACAGGTCCCTCTATAATATTCAGCGACGAAGACTGCACAATTGTAAGAAAATAATGTAATTGGAGGTACAACTAGAGAAATTCAAATCCAGGAAACACTATATACACTCAAAATTAATATCTCCTCAGATGACATAAAAATTCTAGAACATTTTATACCAAACGCACCATATGTAACTCCAAATTTCAATAATTACAAAGCTTCGCTCGACGACATGTACAATCAATTAAAACAGACTAAAACAGCACGACGTATTAAAAGCACTACAGACATAGTATTCGACATACTACGTTACGCCAGATACACATCATTAGGACTAATAACTCTATACACCCTCCACAAAATAGGATTCTTCAAAGCATTAAATAAAATCATACCCAAAAAGTTATGTATTAAAATATGTTGTAACACTACAAAAGTCACACAGAAAAAAAACTAGCCTGGTTCAACCAAGTACGCTAGACACCTATTTGGAGCTCCAACCAACATCTCAATGCACCTACATCAAGGTACAATCTCCGTGCGACCAAGACGCTTAATATTGGAAAACATCGCCGTACCAAAAATCAAGAAAAAGGTCGTACACTTTAGAGGACTAAAGTGAATCTAACAACGGGGGTGTGAAGCAGACTCCTTAACACTCCAGCTGCTGATTGACCTAAACAAATGAACCTGCCTCACCTTTATGTGAATTTGTCACGTACATTATACCCGAACAATCTGTATAAATAAACGACACTAAATAAAGCAGTCTAACTTGTACCAGGATATAATTCAGATCTCATTGTTCTTCCAGTCATGAATCGACGGCTACTACGATAGAATTTTCTTAGATTGATTTCGTCTGTTCCTATTGGGAATTTCCAATTAATAATTGATTCTCTTTCTGTTACGAATAAAGAAAACTAGTTATTAATTATCGTTAAGTGAATAAAATAGGCCCATCACATATTTTGTGAAGTGAGTAAAATTGGCCCGTCACATGTACATGATTCTGAGTAATTACCGAGGTCAACAGTGAACTTCCAAATAGCAGAATTTGTTTTCAGTTTCTATTATTACCAAGAACATCGTCAACGTATCAACAATAGTATATGTTGTGTAGCTATAGCATCGAGTCACATGTTTATAGCCGTTTTTTTTTTGTTTATACAAAATTAGCACGAGTACAATAGTTAGCTATTTGGGGAGCGCTAACATCTTGGCTCAATCTTGGCATCGATTCCCCAAGCACATGCTAACAACTTTCAGCTCTGGAATTGTACTTCATAGGTGTGCTCGTGGTAAACGATCAAATCCTATTAGTTCTTGCGCGAGACAGCCAATAAGAGCTAGTATGATTTGATTATTTAACATGAGAACACTCTAGCTCATACTATCCAGCAATAAAAAAGCATCCCAGATATCACTTTAACAATTGTGATACAATTGCTTCGCTCAATCAATCAGGATTGTGTTTTTCATGCCTCTTCTCTAACGACTTGATCATCTAGATGTCATGCGCCGAAAGACCGACTCATACTAAGTAAATTATCAATTAATTAATTCAAATCCGGCCCGGCGCACCGGGACGCGGATATGCCGCCTCGCCTATTGACTATTATCTCTAAACCACCATGAAAGGTCATGCATATGGACGTTGTATGCGGCGGTACAAAGAAAAACCCAAGCTTCGCCATTTAAGGATTATCAGCGAGGAAGACCGTTCCATGCGGGAAGTGACCCACTTAGCCGTTTAACTCGGAATTTCCCGAAGGTCCTTCACGGACCGTTTCCAGCGGGATCACCAGCTTACGCATCGGTCTCTAGCGTGCACAGCCTCGACTGTGGAGCTCGTGCAAGATACCGCTCATACAAGTATGTGCGGCACACGCGCATTTGCACGATCCGGCTAGGGTACCTCGGGATTGCTACACCCGTGCCTCTGCATCCTGTGCGCAGGCGCATCGGCCCCTGAGGGATGAATAAATTATCAATTAGATAACCTTCTGCTTCTTCAGGGTTTTGATCATTTCCCAAATTTTGATTTGCTGTCATCAACCTTCGGTGGCATTGTCCTTGGCCTCGTACCTGAAACGATGAGATCTCGAAACATTCCATAGAGTATTAAATTGGTTGAAATTTATCATTCTCACTTGGTGGTTCAGCCAGCCGACAATATACTTATGTATTATAGATATGCTTTGGCTTCAGTATGCGTCGACTTGCAGAGCAATCGCCGTCACTGGCCTAACGAGTATGTCTTTGGAATACGGGTAACTTGATCTGTGAAGGGAGAAGTTAGATTAGTTAACGCGAAGACAAAACAGCTACTGGCAACGCAAGACTATTGTTGTGTAGCAATAATTTTACATATTTCTGGATCAATTAATCCAATTCAAAAAATAATATTTATAAAATTATTTTCCATCCATATTTTATAATTGAAAATATAATTACAATTATTTTTATTTTATTAATTTTTATACATATATTAATTTACAAAATCCTTATTTATTAAGGGATCCAGATAATTTTAAAATAGCAAATCCAAAAATAATTATTCCACTCACATATTAAACCAGAATGATATTTTCTTTTTGCTTATTCTATTTTACGATCAACTCCTAATAAATTAGGAGGAGTAATTATATTATTTATATCAATTTTTATTTTATTTTTTTTAAACAAAAAATTTTACCTTTATTAAAATAAAAAATTTAAAATTTCACCCAATTAATCAAATTTTACATTGAATATTTATTAATATCTTTATTATATTAACATGATTAGATAGACAAATAATTGAATGTCCATTTACAAATTTAAACAATTTTTTCACAATATTATACTTTAATTATATTAAACAGTCTACAACAGACTGTTGTAGAATTGCTAATCGAGAGAAATACAATTTTCGAGACAAAAGTAATAGTTCTGGGATACGTTTAACGCTGGCGATCGGTAAAATGAGGCGCGAAGGACTTTGTGAAGATGCACAAGTCGATCTATAAATACAACGAGATACATACGTACGTTATTGCGAAATTTTTCCAAGATGAAAAGCTCTTGATGCCCTTGCTAACGTTCTTCGCAACCATTTTGTTGAGGAATTTCTCCAGCGTTAGATTGATCGTATTCGCCGGCGGATGTGCCATTATCCGTACCTCAGAGTTCAATGCTATTGTAAAGCTCGTCTGCCTTCAGCATCATGATGTCGGCTCTAAAAGAGAATCAAGTTTGTAGGAAAATTGTATACGTCAAAACCAGTAAAAAAGAGAAAGACAACGAAAAAGGAGAAAGGAAAAAGATAGAGAAAATGGTACGGTTGAGAAACGCGAAGAACAATTATGCGAAAATAGAGCAAGAAAACTACTTTAAAGATGGTGAAAAATACTTTAAAATATTGGTCAAGCGATCTTCAATGTCGAAGCATTTAAGGCTGATGATTCGAAAATCAAGTTTGCGCGATTTGTTCGAGGCAAGCACGTCTTACGAGGCTGAAAGAATTAAAAATGACGCCGACGCGACACCTTGACAAGATTTTTTGGAATAAATAAATTTTTCATTAGGATTCATCGAGCTTGAGTTTCGTATCTGATCGCCAGTTTCTCGACCTCGCAGTCCGCTCCTCACGTGAAATCTCATTTAAAAAAAAGATTAATCGATAATTATTGATGGGACTTTGGAAATTCAATCTTGAATCTTGAAACAAAATTTAAGTCTCTCGTGTTGCTTGGCAACCAAACGCGATGCAAGTATAGTTCGAGATGTCTGGCAGTAAAGACAGCGGAGGCTCGATTATGATGTTGCAACTTTGGGAATATTTTCCCGAAGCTGATAGGTACGGAAGGGACTAGGAGACTTTCATTTGAAGTGTAATTGCGAAATCTAAAACTGCTCACAAAAATTAGGGGATTATTATATAAAATGTTTTATTTATTATTTTATTATATAAAACAAGAAGTAAGCTTGTTTGCTTTTCTGACGTTCTTGTTTAATAAAAAAAAAAATCAAATCCTTTTTTTTATTGCATATTCATTGTGAAATATTCCCTAATTTTTGTGGGCAATGTAGATACCAACGATCTTCTATCATAAAATTTTATAGACGTTCACGGAGTTTATGGAGAGCGGTTTCGTGCTTCGGAAGGCTCAGGCAATAATTGTTTGTAATAGCAATGAAAACTGGGCGAAATTTATTTCAAATAATAATTTGTAAATAAATTTTTAAAATAACGTTTTTTAGTATTTGACAAATAATGGATTTCAATTAATGGTATATAGTTCACTTGATCAATTTGCAAATAATTGGCAAAATAATAAATTGAAATAAGAACTGATTATTTGAGAAAATAATATTTATTTGATAATTGAAAATTTGTCTTTATAATAATATTCAAAATAAATATCAATGAAACCAAAATACTCAAACGAAAAAAAAAATAATCAATGAAAATAAAAATAACGTATAATGTGTAAGCGAATGTTAGCCACGCCGCCCGTTCCTAGTGTAACGACGAGTCACCATGAATCACATATTGACTATAACAACGACTCATCCACCAACAAAACAACGATAACAATATCCCACCCTTGCCCAAAACTCCGATAACACAAGTATAAAAGGGCCATCCCCAAACTCCTCAAGTCAGTTCCATTCCGCCAACCAAACGTAAGTGTTTAATTTATTGTATTATTTTATAAATAAAAGTTCCGGCTCATATAAAAAAAGTGTTCTATTCAAATCCTGCATAACACCTAGGTGTGGGAAAACTTCCTCTCCTATTTGGTAGAAGAGGCCACTCGAGATTAAGAACCATGGGCCGATTCCAATGTTTATGACCGACGCTGTAAACCGAGCTAGGGTATCCGGACAAGGGTTGGAGGATACACTCCAGGCGACACTCTGTCGGGAGAACGTCGCCGAGATCGCACGTCCGAACCAGTCTCATCAGTTTTATCAAGAAAATACACGCTTTGTTGTTAACGGAAATTCCATTGTAAAATTATTGCTTACATATCAGAAGTGGGATTACCAACTCCACTAAAGAAACTTTAGTGTGTGAAGCGAGCACAAGATAGTACGGTACCGTGTTACAAGTGTCAGAGTGCGATGCCGAAGCAGTCGCGAAAACGTGATTACGAGCGGAGATCGAAGGCGTCGCGTAAAGCGGCTAGGCGAGCGGGATCATCTCCGTCTCGATCCAGGAGCCGATCCAGGGGTTCGGAGGACTAGTATCGAGAGGAGGAATCGAGTGGGTACTATTATCGCCGAGCCTGCACCCCGAGGGACCGCAACGCTCGGCGAGAGGAGGCGTCGAGGAGCACTGAAAGGTGGAGAAAAGACAAGAGATCACCGGTCAGGAGCCATTCGAGTGAACGACGGTCAAAAGATAGATCGACCGGGAGGGATGACGGTACAGGGATGTCTGGTGAGTCCGAATTTGCTAAGTTGACTTCGGCGTTGACGGAGGCTATCCGCATGGGCTCGAGTCAGGCAAAACGTG